TGCGACACTTTTTCAGCATGGTTACAGTAACTCCAAGGAGGTTTAATTTTAAACCTCGCTGCTACAGCATGGTCAGAAAACGCTGCCGACCGGTAGTCGATGCTCCCAAGAACACGTGAGCCAAACATACAATAGAACGACGACTAACCATCCAATTGTACAAACTTTTTTTTAATATTCCGCCGATCCTGTCCCACGTTTCTCACGCATAAATGACGCACGAAACGTACTCACAGGTTCAGATTAGCGCGAACGAGCGTCTCAGTTGTTACTCTGATGTGTCTGAAAAGCGCGCCCTTTTCGCAGACAGAGACTATGCTACGACTGCATTGACCATTGTGCGACCGGTAATTACAACAAAATCCTTCCGGTGAAAGCCTTAAAATCGTACGATTGTCCCCACCGCGAGATAAGCGAGCGCTCGCGAAAGCGTCTTCTTTCCACGGGGCAAAGTACGCGCTGGAGATAAGGGCACGCGCCCCTTTTCGCAAATAGAGACTATGCTACGATTGCAGTGACCATTGTGCGCCCGGTAGCTACAACAGAATCCTTTCGGTGAAAGCCCTAAAAGCGCACAATTGTCTCCACCGCGATATAAGCGAGCACTCGCAAAAGCGTCCTCTCTCCACGGGGCAGAGTACGCGTGGGAGATGAAAGCACGCGCCCCTTTTCGCGAACGGAGACTACGCTACGATTGCAGTGACCATTGTGCGCCTGGTAACTACAACAGAACCCTTCCGGTGAAAGCCCTAAAAGCGTACGAATGTCCCCGCAGCGAAATAAGCGAGCGCTCGCGACAGCGTTTTCTCTCCATGGGGCAAAGTACGCGTGGGAGATGAGAGCACGCGCCCCTTTTCGCAAACGGAGACTATGCTACGATTGCAGTGACCATTGTGCGCCGCGCAACTACAACAGCATCCTTCCGGTGAAAGCCCTAAAAGGATTGTCCCCACCGCGATACAAGTGAGCACTCGCGAAAGCGTCCTCTCTCCACGGGGCAAAGTATGCGTGGGAGATGAGAGCATGCGCCGCCGCGTCGTGACATTCTGGTAACACGCGCTCATTACACCATCTCGGTGGTAATGCTGAAAACACAATAGTAGTTCCCCCCGAGATGCCCGTCGCCAGCGGTAAGTGGTACGTAGATATTGCTACAAAGCACAGTCGGAGATATAAATAGCTTGCCGTTTGAGCGTTGAAGCAGGTGCTCCTCCATGGCTCAGTAGTTAACGCCTCGCATTCACAATTGAAAGGTACCATGTTCGATTCGGCATGCCGGAGTCCTTTTGCGAATTATTTTTCTTTCTTGCATTTACATATGTATAGATACGTATACATATATGGTGAGTGACGGCGACGCCGTCGGCAAGATCTAGCCGAGTGTGTCCAAATAATTGCTACCCCAATAAAAAAAAACACCCGTGAATTTAGATTTAGGTGCTCGTCAAGCACTACAGACAACAAAAATTGATCTGATTTCACCATTATAAGCCTAACAAAAATAACGCCTGAGCATAGGCCAAATCTTGGCCCCCATTACATCTAGGCATTGGCTGCACCACTTTTGTAAGGCAAAGCACGTTTAGGTGAGAGTTCGTAGGGTTATGAAATCACTGTATTTGCTTTGTTTAAAGCCTTGAAATTACAATAATTTACTTTGCTTGATGCCGTCACTCATAAGGAGAATTGATCAGCATACAAAACTGGTAGAAAAATCTGCACCATTCCTTTATTTTGCTACACTCTGTGTCGTAGAGTTCGTTCGAGGAGACAAGTGTTTTCTTTTAATAGACAGCACACTTTCCACCCATACATACACTCTAAATAGAAATGCAAGCTTAATTTACCTGAAAAACTAGTGTTTAGATCAGTTCTGTAACACGCTAAGATGTTCTTTAAATACAGATATTTGTCCCCCTCAAAAAGAGATAAGCTTATTAGTCAGACTGCGCTAATCCATTATAGAAGTATTGACCGCATCTTAGAATGTCTACCAAGTGCTCAAATGTAAAATGATGACACCTGAAATAAAGGCAAGGACACCAAATTTGGTCAAGCCACAACTTGGAGCGAGCTTCTCTATGTATCCACCTCGTGGATTATTCACTTCGGCGTCTGCTGATTGGCTGGAGCTCCACCAGCAGCGCACCCTCTGCTCCCAGCCCTTCTTTTGCAACAGTCTTTTCAACGTCCCGAAATTTTCACAACTCTCGACACAAATGAGAAAGACGGAATGCGTTTCATCGCAACAAATGCTGCCCCGAAAGATCTCTTTTTGGACGCACATCTCAGAGGCCGTGCATGAACTCTATAATCACGTTAGCACTTGAATTAGGTATAACATGGCCGCCCATTTGGCGAACTTCGAAGATTGGTACGCATTCCCTGCATTATTCTGAAACATCTGAACACATTCATATTGTGTTTAGTCTTGTCGAGTGTATTGTAACTCTACATTTCATCTATTGTCTTTCTCTTCACAATGGGAATGTGCTGACGGGTTTGGTGCGTCGATGTGGCTACAAGCGCCATGACATCATGACTCACAGTTTTTTTTCCTGAATAACTGAACATGCTCCGCCGAAGTAGATAACAAGGTGGATACATTGAGAATCACACCTTTGGCCTCAGACTGCAAAGCCTGTCATCAACATTACTGTGACATCACAACCCAAAGCAAAATTTTTAAATCTTGTGAAGTAGCAGTGATTCTCATAAAAAAATAATAAACGTGACGGCTGCACACGTTTATCCTGGCTGCACTTGGGTGCGACAGCTGCAGCTATCACAGGAACGGAACAAGCTGCTACAGCTATGTCTTGACACGTTCCACCTTTAGATTTCACAAGCAAAACTTGCTGGCAGGAAAATACACATACTACAGTGAAAACACACCAGCATATTCCAGAATATTTCCAAATCTTCAAAGTATCTGAACCTTATCTTACTGCAGTATAAAAAAGGCAAGCAACTGTAGCCAACAAAGTAAACTTTGTCGACTACAAAAAATATCAGTTCTAAAACACATGCTGCAATACTAGTGGATACATGGCAGTAAATAAAATTTTAGCAAGAAACAGGCAAGCACAAAGGACTCTACTGCATATAGAGATAAGACAAATACTTTTTAAGCTTTTCTTCTTTCTCTAACAAATGCTTTTTCACTAATGCAGGAAACAAAAATGCAGATAACTTTTCACATGAGCACAAAATGCTGACCACTCGGTCGTTATCACAGTTCATTGCTCCAAGTTTACGGTCACTAGAGAGCATGGTAAAGTATTCAGACACCTTCACATCACATTTGTTTAAATGCTAGGCCTCTTCCCCATCCTAGCTTTTTAGCCTTTTGATTTTATTGCAGCTTTGAAATCGCATTATTGGAGAACAAAGTGAGAGAGGAGATGAACGACGTTCCACATAAGGTGCCAGCCATGGTATTGAGCGTGGCGCACAAATCTTCGGCCATGTCGGCAACACACGCTTAACATTTTAGTGGGCATCGGTGTACGTCACATCAGTTGCAATGTCTAGAGGGGCTGCAAACTAAGATGAGCGTTCCTGCTCACTTTGAAACCAAATTACAATACCTTAACGCTAATGTCCGCCACTAATAAGCAATCAGAACTACCCAAATGTACAGCACAATTAAAGACCACAAACACCTTCAGGTTTAAATTCTGGCATCAGGGGACCTTTCAATGACAAAGTATAACGGCCTTTCAATGAATGTGTCGAACTTGGAGCATATTAAGCTACCTCAAATCCCACCAAAAGAAACTCAAGGTACCACAATATTTAGCAGTACATCATCTAGTGTGTATTCATAATTAATGTAATTACATATGTGTTTACTTAAGTCATTCTCCAGCAACTGTCCTAGCCAGGGTGCTCGCCAAAAATGCATTTTAATCAAGTAGCTTGAGAAAATTGCACACATATAGACATTAGTTCTAAAGTATTCTCCCAGGATATCTTGAGCGGTAAAAATGTTTTGTGCCTGTGACCACCATTTGAAATTCATAAAAATGGTGACAAACCTGGCATGAAAAAAAACTACCCTCTAAATTGACCGCCTTGTGCATTCTTTCAATACTTGCTTTTATGCATTTTCAGAGTAACATGCTTTTATTATGAAAGAGTTGCTCACGGTTGCTTAAAAATTTTCACTCTTTAGAGCATAGACAAAACTGAGTAAACTGTAGAGTTTTTGAAATTTTTTCTACAAAACATGACCATCGATAGAATGCACAAATTACTGTTTTCGAACTTTCCATAAAACATATTATTTACAAATTTTTTTGTTATGCCAGCGTGTGGTGCAAAGGCTATAAAGTGAAATCCTGAACTCGGTGAAAATGCCGCTTTGGTCTAAGTTGGAATCTGTAGCACCCTACGGTGGTCCAAGAAAAATCGGGAGAAAAAGTGCATACGATTGAGAATCATGGCGACTTTGCTCACAGAAAGTTCAATCGAAGTCATTTTTGTTTATTATCCACTTACAAAAAAAAAGTAAAGGATGACGATTTTAGGCCTGGCAGTCCCATGCCGTCGATTTCCCACAGGGTGGGTGCCCTCCCTAGCGACTGCAACTTCGTTCTGAAGCACCAAACCGGAAGTGAATTTGTATCCTATTTACCAGTAGGTACCTGGCAGCAGCAATCTCTTGCCTCCCACGGCAGTGGCGGATGCTCAACTATTTCATCAAGGCTGTGGTGTGTAACGTACGCTCGGGGGCCTTCGCAGAACCTTGTGGGGCTACCTTTCGAGATAAGTACCCAGAAACAACTGAGCGCAAGGTCTGGCACACTCATCTACCCATTAAGAAAACCGGCACTGGGAATCGTACCCGGCATCTCCCTCATTGGAAGCGGAGGCTCTAAACATGGAGCCACTGCTGTGGTAGATACATGGTTAGAGCGTCCGGTTAGAGCGATAGTGTGTGCTTACATTGTCCCATGCCTGACCGACTGCATTGACTGACTGTCCCACGCATCCTGTTGCTGGCACAGATCCATTTATTTAGCTTGTAACAAGTAGTGAACATAATCAAAAGTTCACCTGTATTCGAATTTCTATGGACTTAATGGGGTTCAACTGCATCCTTCGTTAGATTCAATGCCTACTATAAATTTATGAGGCAAATGACAACAAGAAAAATTGACAGCATTTAAGCTTCACTTTTAAGAGCTGAATGCGATAGTTACATCTGCACATGCACCCACATAGTGCGCTATCCCCTTCCCTATCACTAACCTGCCTTCATTTTTCAGTAAAACCTAAACTTTACCGCAAAAAAAGCCAAAATACAAACACTCTCTGGCTTTTTTAACTTTATTTGCATCTACCTTGAGTTTGAACTACAGTCAACAGTGCCTTTTTCATTCACAACTAAAAACGACTACAACATCGGAATTGCCGCAGAACTGAGCTGCTGGGCGCTATGGCATTAAAAAGCATAAACATAATGATTACCTTATGCTGATGGCTACCGGTTATACATGAAAAACAACACAAGTTTGTCTATTTTGTTTCCAATGCACACATTAACCAAATTATTTGGTTTTACGTTCAAGATCTACTCCTAGTCTGGAAGCGTTCTATAATAAGCAGTCAGATTAATTTTGATTGCGAAGAATGCTCCAATGTGCAGCTAAATGTCGTGTGCCTATCACTTTGGCTTTATAACCACCTACACCTTCATTTCAAAATGCAACCGCCAAGGACCTGCGATCCTGTGCTCCACTGCATATAGCTGAAAGCAGATCATTATATTTACTCATTCGCATGTTATTTGTCACACTAACATCTACAAGTCTACACTCGCATACTGTACAACGAGATCAGCCATCTCTCTTGCACACAGCAATAGCTCACTTTTAAAATTAATCACACACACTCTTAGCTAAACTATACAATCTACCGGAACGAACTCGCCTTCAGCCTACAGTGGAGACAAACCATAAAGATCAAGCTTTCAGCCTTCAGCGCATCACATCCTGTGTTCCACAATGTGAGTGTGCAGCAATGCTTTGCTTGTTTCAGCATTAAGAGATTAAGAAAAAGGTACTGCTATGCATTCAGGACACTGATTATAACTGACATGTGTAGTGTCAATTTGAGTGACTCATTACAGTCGTCAAAATGAACTGCAACATTCAATTTGCTGTTTCCATATCACTCCAACTGCACAAGTCAAAAGCTGCATTTTAATCAATAGCAACCCGACTGTAACTTAATTAAAAAATAGCTTCGGTACACAAATTCCCGAGCACGAATTGGCAGACAGCAGTCAAAAATAGTATCACAGGTTAGGGCACATGGGGTGGTTCTTTGTGGCTGATTTTCGTTCGCTCTCACAATTTACCGTAATTGCTTTTGCTCTTTTTATCTCAGGCTGCTGAACCAGCGAGGCATTAACAGTCACTGCGTGTCAAAGCAGTTGTCGCATTACCATCATCAACAATGAGAATCGTAATTATTTTGCTCGGAGCTGTTTCAAATGAGACAAAAACAACTCGCGTTCATTCAAGAAAGATTTCACTGTGGTGATGTGAATATGACACGTTCAAATCACTCCTTCTCACAGACCATCCACTCGCACTGCGCCAGTTGCTCAGATATAAAAAAGTGAACATCCACCACGCTAATCTTGTGTCCCGAATCCATCATTAAAATGAAAGATATTGTGGAAAGCAACGAAAAGACAATCCAGTGAGTACAAGCGCACGTGCACGAAGAAACAACGCAGAGAAAAGGAAGACAACTTTGGCATTCAGGTAGTATCAGTCGAGGCGGAGAGCTGCTGAGGCATAGCTGACGGAAGAGTCGCTCATGCTCATACACTGACTGGACTGGGCATACTTCAGGAACTTGAGCGCCATCCTGTGGCCATTTCCAGAATTTTGGAGTGTGTCCACAGCCTGCAAGGACAGCAGTGTTAAAGGAAAACTAAAGAGAAAAACTTTTTTAAGAGTGAAGCAGCTCAAAGGAAAACGTGGAGCATCTGCAAAAAACCCTCCATGCTGATACATGCCGTTGGTAGTAGTAGTGCTCTGTCTGTGCCATCATTTTCCCATTTATTCCTGTCCTTTACACGCGCTGCTACAAGAAAACTTACTGAAGTAGAGTCTAGTGTCCAGTTTGGTGCGAAGAACACAACTTTCACCCCATATCACTTCGTTACATTTTATCAGGCCATGGGACTCACCGTGCATATATAAAATGACTGCAATATCAGTAGTTTTTTTACTATTCCTGGATCGAGAACATCCATATTTATCTTTCTTTAGAAACGGATGTAATGATGCACAGCATGCCCCGCCTTGTTGGGGCGATAAACTTGAAGCCGGAGACAACTGCTCAGTTTATGTGCGCAAGCATTTTTTCCATAAGCATAACAACAAAATTGCTTGTTCAATAATATTTGGATGCGCCGACGCGAAATTAAAGGGACACCAAAGGCAACCATTAAGTCAACATTGATTGTTAGAATAGCGGTCCATAAACCTCGTAGTGCTGACTTTTGTGCCAACGAAGCGCTTATTTTGAAATGAAATCGCGTTTTAGTGCTCTGCATCGGGTTAGCGCACTTCAAATCACCCGCACAAACGGATCGTCTGACGTGGCTGTTGCCGTCCACAATGTTGCCCTGCTTTACTGCGCAGCCGTCGACACTAGTAGCAGCAGAACGAAAGCAGCGGGAGGCACAGGAGCAACAACGGCAATTCAACAATTTCCTGTCATTCGCTCAGAGATGGTTCAACTGGGCCCCGCTAGATGGCACGGCATGTTCAGTTTAACTAGGGTGCCTCGATGCGCGCGCCCCTGCTCAGGGTGCTGCCACCTTTTGTACTGCTTCCTCCACCATTGTAGTGCCTGCAGCGTCTTCGCCAAGCTGTAGAGCTCACGTGCCAGTTTTCTTCGGCATGTTTTGCCTGGATGTTGAGTTCGTCATGGCTACGACAATTCGTGTTAAGCTAGTGGGCCACTACGCGCCACAGCAAAACCTGTACGCTGCGGGAGTGATAATGGCGGCCGCCGCAGATGTCTTCACTCTGAGCGGAGGAGCGGGCATTGAGGCACTCTAAATTTAACCACGCGAAGATCGAACTATTGAACCACTAGCACCGTTCTCCATAGCAACGTCCGGCAGGGATTTTTTCCATGAATCAAACAAAAACAAACAAGCAGCATTGTATTAAGTCTCTTGATGCATAAAAAGTTCTTTATTTGGTGCAGCTAGTTTGATTACTAGTGATTAATTCTAGGTGGGTCGTCTGATGTTATCGGGATTATTTTGAGAATGTCCCACTGCTGTGCATGTATTGTGCATTTACCTTGATTTCTCGGTAAGTAGGGCACGGGTGTTGCTAATATTGTCGTTTTAGATGTTGTCATACATTGAGCTTTCACTCTATGTGAATTGCTGTTTGACTTTAGTGTCCCTTTAAACAGTGCTTTCGCTGAACAGGGACTATGTAAATACGCTGTCAGCAAACATGTTTTGGGGTAAGCATGTACCAAGATATTGCAAGTTGCCAGAGCAAGGCACCCAGCGTGTGGATTTTAGTTGCATCCCTTGTGGTCACCTTTGTAAACTGATGACTTGCAAAGTAAAATCAAATAATAATCTGTACATGCATACCTGAATGCTGCAACACCTCTCGGCAGTTTGGTATTAAGAAAACAAGTAATAGTTGTATAAATAGAAATTTGCTGTTCCAGCTTATGATAGTATGTTTGACAACACGCATCTGCATGCTCATGTCGCTTCACTACTACGTCTTAAATACAGTCTGCTCGGTAACACTGAGTGCTTTATTCCTTTTACATTTCACGCATACGTGCAGCTGCTTTTACAATGCAATAAGAGTCAACAAGTGGCAACGAGTTCTTTTCGTTTCGTGCTTTCACAGCGCCAGTGAGGGGCGGAAAATCGAAAAGCCGGCTACCCTGACATACACACTTTTCCCACAGTGTTCTGCCCGCCTGGAGGACGTTCCGAAAATGCTTGAAAAAGGTCTATACCAAAAGCACCATGCTTGAAGCGAAGGATATGCCTGGCAAGTAAGAAAATGCACAAGAAGAAAACGCGAGCGGGAACACGACCTTCAAAGTTGTACACCAAACGCCGAGACAACATAGACTCTGACAGAGCCTTATAGGTCATTGGTAGTTCGTAACTGGAAAAAAATAAACTAAACTATCCTCTAAGGAGGCAATGCACTCAAGATAGCAAGTTCCAGGAAATTTTGATCCGCCGATCCCACCAAAACCCGAAAATATTCCCTTTGGAATAAGTCACATCCTATGTGGAGATAATAATGCGAAATTTGAAAATAAAACTGCATTACTAATTTTTCCTAATAGTAAACATATGATGGTAAAATTAGGGACATAGAGTTGTCAGAGTACAATATATCAATCTAAACAAGTTCACTGTTTCATTCTAGTGTCTTTGACACGTTAGCCCAATTACATTGGCACTGAACAAAGGCTAGCATTATGCCTAGTGTCTGAAGGTGTTCTCACTTGGCCTATTTAATTTTACTCTCTAACCTGCTGTGGAGCCAGATTTCTGACTGAAGTTAAACTCATGCCAAGCCATGCTCCTACAGACATGCCCTCAAGCAAGAGACAAACAACCCAACAGTTTACAATGCACAAACATTCTACATGCACACACAAGCAACACAGAACCAACCAGTTTTGCAACGCGGTATTATCTCACGACTAAAACTTCTTAATTACATCATGGTCGCTTCTCCATATCACGTTCTCATTACCTGCAAGATTCCACCTAAACACTCATTGCGACTGAACGATTCTAGATTAATCCACCAACTGTCAAGTTACAAAGCTCATAAACATTCCCGTTTTTCGTGAGCTATTCACCACTAAACAGGATAGACAGTAATGTTGTGTATAGTAACACCATTCAGTCATTCATGAACTTAATACAGTGTGCCCAGTTTGAATTATGATTTGTTGACAATGTATCTATTTTCCTGTTACTTCATGTATGTATTTTGTTTACACTTTTTTATGTATTTTTTGTATCCCCTCCTGCATGAGCCATGAAAGCCTGCAGTATGTTGAAATAATATAAAATAGAACAGGTGCACCTGAGCTTGTCTGCATCACATTCACATGATGGCTTGCTACACCAATAGCTATCAGTGTTACACGCCACTTTTAAACTCCATAAAAAAAAAATTGCACAAGCGTAAACCATGACAACAGTCGGAAACGGCAATGAAGCGCACCACTTGTTAACCTGCAGTAATCGACAGAGGTCACCCTTTTTCTAGTGAAAGGTGCAACGGGCCCCGTAATCCTTTGCAATACAGCGTCCTTGTTTAAAAATGCAACTTACTTTTGCCATTCCTGAGCACTAATGGCAATGAAGAGACTGCAAACACTGAGCTGATGATAAATTGAGAATTCTTGTTGTCTGAAATTCCTTTGTATCACTTATGGGTAAAATGTTTTACTACACACAGCAGTGCCATGTTTAATGACGCATTGGACATGCAGCTCTTTTGGCAGGAATTCTGAAATGTTTTTAATTTTCAAAAATTTTCACTGCCAGAAGATAACTACAGCAGTGTAATTTGAGTGGCTCAATGAATTTCAGTTTATAAAAAAATATAGCATGACTGACACTAGAGTAGTTTGGCAATTACATACTTTACAATTACAATAAATTGCTGTGATATAGACTATAATTCATTTACACTCTCACTAGCATTATACTTAGTCTTGAGAATCTTGGCATCAATTTATGTAAACTTCACACAACAGCCCTCGTCCCATCAGGTCCTTTTTTGTGCTAATGGATGTCTAAAATATAATGCTGGATATCTTTCAAAAAGAAAAATATGACGATCATAATGCATGTCACAAAGGGATAAGGTATGAATTAATCTGGCAGTAAGGTTGAGGAGCCACACTGTGGTGTTATATCACAGAACCAAGACACGATGAAAAGTCTGACAAGGGAAGTCACTGCAGACAATATGTCTAAAGCCAAGCTATGACTATAGGCAGGGGTGCAACAGCCGCAATACAATTTGGAGCAATTTTCGATGAAGCAAAATGTTACTTTTGGAGCCCTAAATTCCAAATTTGTAGCAGGTCACGAGAGAAAAACATGCATTTTATATCATGAAATACCAAATTTGGAGCAGTATAGAAAAGGAGGCTTACATTTAGAAACAAAATATGTATAAACCATTCAGTATCACCTAAATCGCGCAGTGTGAACATGAGCACTGCTATTTCAATGACAGCAGTACTTTGAATTACCACGCTGCGCAAACAATGATAAAGTTCATTATAGCATTTGCTGCGCCTATTAAATATAGTAATAGGCTCTGCGAACTTAGCTATCAATCTACCAAGTTTGCGAACTTGAAATATGGGAGATTCGTAACACCGTGAACTAGGGGTGGCGAAAAAGAAAAAACTGGCCCACAATTCAGCTTGTTTTTTAGGGAAGCAGAAATGTGATACACTGCTTCAAATGATTGCCAGAAACTTATTTAGACGTCGGTAATTACACTGGTACTCGGAATTATGCCTCATACAAACGCATGAGTAACTGAGCAAAATGTGCAGTGTCCCGCTAGTGCTAACAACCCTTTCTAAATCTCAATACGCTTTTTTGCAGGGCACCGGTGAATTGCAGCTAAGGTAGCTCAAGCAGCATTAGAACCAAAGCCAAGAAATTTTCTAATTGCTACACCACCACCCCACTTCCCACCCTCTTTTTTTTGTAACTGTCGGACTAGGTGTCACTTCAGCTCCCTTGCCAGGCGCATTCGACCAGGTAAAGTAACCACAGCGCATGCCCGTTTGTCCAACGACGCTACCAGATATCTGTTACCAAGGACCGTGGCAGGAACGACAGAACTTCAAGACAAAAATAAATGTTTTATGTGCCACTCCAAAGGCAATCAACGTGGTCGCCCGCAACGCCGACATGCACGGCACGTGTCCCTTGTTCGGGCGAGAAAAAGGCGGCATACACTTCAAGCTTTAGTTTTCAACAAGCCATAGCTGCGTTTTCAGGCTAGAAAACTTGCATTTCCCGTGAAGTGTTAGTGGCTAGAGCAACAAACTTTTGTCTTTAGGTTCCATCGTCCCATTGATAGGTATTCGCTGCAGTCAGAGGACCGATGGGCGCGCAGTGTTGTTACTTTATCTGGTCGATCGCGTCTCGCGAGCATAGGGCGGATGTCTAGAATATTTTAAGTATATTCTAAGCACTATAGTTCAGGTCTGCAGGCTTTTTAACTGATGGCGCAAGCTGCAGGTGGCTGGCGTGGCCTGCATTTCTCACCGAAATTAGCGCACCTGAAAATAAGCCTCAGGCCGGCTCGGTCTTCTGGCCCAGCGTGGCGTGATTTCAGCAAATTTAACGGTGTAGGTGGAGCTCGGTGCAACAATCAAGAATTGTACCGAATCGGCGCAGCTGTTGCACCTATGCGATAAATCAAGATTATGACAATAAATCAATATGTTGGCTCCAGCAACATTCCTTGATTACCAGATTTTAGGTGTTGCAAGTGCCCACATTGCCCTGATCTTGTTTCAAATGTGAAAGAGATACTGGTACTTGTCATGCCAGCTTACATTAAGCAGGACCCCAATGGGATGGCGGCCGCAGATGGTGTTTCCATACTTCTTCAGGTACGCGGTGAACGCAGTTGGAGAAAGCTCCTCGATTATGCTCATCCCCTGGGAGAAATAAATGTGCACACAAGAGGGTGAAAATAGACAAACGATATGGTAGTGTAATTCCACAGATGAGCTTACATGTGGCACGTAACACAACATGTTCATTTTAAACAAACTGATATGAACACTCTAATCTGCGATAAATGCTAAACCATGACAGTGTCCCAGCGTCTAATGCAGGCACAATTTTTATAGTTTTAACAAGGGACATGGCACATAATGTTTTTTATTTCTTGATTAATTTTGATGACATTTTTAGAGTTTGTATATATCAGTGTTCTAACCTCAAATACGCAATTATTTTCCAATATAATGTGCAGTTCTTGAAAAACGAAATATTTCATGTGTCTTTCGGGAAGCAAGATTCTTACAAAAACGAGAGAGTTGGAAAATAAATCAGCATATCACAATAATCTGGAATCAAAACTGTGTTTAATGCAACAATTACAGATAGTCTAAATTATCATAACAATAGGTACAATAAATATGTTGAACATTCGCGAGTCAAATTCTGTTTTGAAACTGACTCACTTTCGAATGTAACCTACGTGCATGGGAGTTCGGTGCACGCTTAGTTTTCAAAACTAGAAGGAAGCATGCCCCAAGGTTCTCGCACACACACACAAAAAAAAACCTAACACTTCTGTATATACCGACGTAAAAGAAAACTAACATCATCATCATCATCATTGTCAAGGAGCCCTCCTCCAGGGCCAACTTCTAATGCATCACCCTCCATGCTGCCCACTGTATTCTAAATTCTTTATTTCTAGAATGACCTCTCCACGAAATCACGAATTGAATGGCTGCCCATGTCTTGACCAACCTCTGACCAGCTAAACTAACAAAAACTTCATTTATATTTTTAAATATGCATACACTCAAACCTCGACATAACATACCCAGATATAATAAAATACTTGTTGTAATAAAGTAAATGACAAACAGTCTTGCAAAACATGTAGTGTTAGTAACAAACCTTTATGATGAATTTTCAGATATAACAAATTTATTTTTTTGTAAGATGCAACTTTGTTATAAGAGGTTCAATTCATGAATTGAAATGCCTAAATTTTTTGTTAGTAAGCCATTATTGAAACACGGCTGTGAGCACCCACCTGCTTATCCAGCTTTTCAATGGACTGATGGATGTTGCCCCAGGACTTGTCGTAGAACTGATAGTGAAACCTAGCCCCTGAAAGTTATATGAGAAAAAATTTAAGAACAATAAAGCAGCAGAAACAATGTGGAACAGACTACTCATATCTGTAAAGCTTGTACTTACTAATAGCATACACAGTGCAACAACACAACTGGCATTACGCTGCAAAAAACTACTACTTTTATAGCAGCTTGAGAAGTGAAAAAACACCCATGTGATAAAAAATGCTAACATCATAAAATTAGACATATTCTAGGTAAAATAATTAGACACTGTTATATTCTCTTGCGCTGAACAACGTCAACCTCACTTCACCAAGTGGCAACCCAAAGTTCTGAAGAAAAACTGTTTGGATGTAACAAAGTGCTGGAGGTAAGGTTTCATGCCTTCTGAATATCATTCCACACTGCCTATTTGGTCATGATAATTCCTAAGAGCAATTCCGGGCTAAGTTGCCGTGTATCGTTCCTTTCAGCAAGTAGTAGCAGGTCGGAGCATGTGTGTACTCTAGCTCAGCCCAACGATTCTTCTCTTCGGGGATTAAGGCTTTGTCTCTCGCACTGTTTCTTGATCAACCGCAGAGCACAACTATATGCTTTTACATTTCCGCACCTGTGTTTAAGCCTTTGAGACATTATATGTCACAGTTGTATGCACCACTTGTTATTGTCATTTGTATCAATTAGGGGCTAAGAAACAGCGAGATATATCGAGCTTTAGATGAATCGAACCTCCTGCATACTACATTTTTCTCTATCCAACTTCATTTTGCAGTGTACTGTAGCATATGATCACTTTTCGGAAGGCACGTTCAATGAGTCGTTCAACATGCCACATCCTGCTAGCCATGACGGAAGCATGATTTTGCTTTCCTCAAAATGGGCATAACCAAAAATGAACTTACACTTTATTTCTGGCCCGATACTTCACTTTATTTATGCCAAACAGAGCTTAAATGACTTCAGGATAAACTAATATTTATTTACAGTTTAATCAAAATTAGTAGCTATAAAATGGATGAATTAACATATTAAGACATTATTTTTGCTGCAAAAAATGATGAATCGTTCTTGAAAGGTTCAACATAACTTGGTGCTCTTCTCCAAAATAATGAATGCCTTGAAATAAGGTCGTATGGATTCAACACATCTATCGACAGTTCCTCGCAGGTGGAGTCTGAAAGGGTTAACGTATGTCAGGTGGAGTACACCATTCCAAATATTTCACGTAAAGCAGAGCCCCCTTTCAAAGACCGGTTGAGCAGACGATAACTGACCCCAGTGGCAGAAGTCTGAGGATATGACGAAAAGGTTGTCTGCGTCAGCAAGGTACTTGCTCAGCAGTCGGCCGTAGAAAGCCTCATTCTCAGGACTCAGTGATCCCACAATGATGGGCACGATGGTGAACTCCTGGCTAGTTTCATATGAAAAAGAAAGTACAAACAACGAAACATTCATCATGACAGCAAAACAACCAACATCATCAGCATCATCAACCACAGCCAAAAAAAGAAAACATTAAAAACAAAGGCACATCCAAATTAAAAATACCTTCATTACTTGCACCTTACACTGTATAAGCTCATTACTTCGAACTTGAAGGAGACTATGAAAATGTTCCAATGAAGCACAGTTCGAATTAGCAGGCAAGTGCTAAAATGAACGGACATCTCGCCACACTGCGTGAGCTGAGCCCAAAGAGGCCATCCCCGGCTACATTATTGTGAATCAGAGAACACTACATGTTTATGGTAGGTGATTTTGTGAATTAGGTTCATGGTGCCGTAACAACAAACAGAATTAATCGAAAAGAAAGTGATGTGGCAGAAGCATGCAGAAAATCGCATTTATGTAGGCAGTGAGCCTTAATGACAAAATATATGACACTAGTTATGCTCCAAAGTATGTTCATTTAAATAGAAGAGTTATGACACTAGTTATGCTCCAAAGTATGTTCATTTAAATAGAAGAGTTAACTGAATTAAAAGTGAAACTAATCAGTAATTTGCATTTGCCTGCACTTCTTCTGTCGCAACTCCACGAGCGTCGTTCGCTGTTTGCCCCAAAACTTCAAAACTTCACTGGAGCGTCCAAATTCTTGCTACCATAGTGACGCCAATGCTCGTTCTCGGGGCTAATAGCCGGAGAGCACCGCCCGACCCCGCCGCGCGCCCGATCCAGGCGGCCGTGCGGAGGGCATTTCCTTCTAAATGTATTTCAACTAGGCCAGCCGCCGGTCCCATTGGAGAAATGCTGCTGTTTTGTTATCCAGTAAATTTGGTTTGGTGTGGTTTCGGAATGCATTGTAATGACTCTGGGTTGACTTCTGCAAGCAGTGGTCAAAGGCAGGGGTTCGCAGTTCGAATTCGTGGATACTGACACCTGCAAATTATTGGTTGTTTCCTTCATAGAGCTGGGCCGAGACTAGGGCGTCACTTCAAATTAATGAGCTATTGTTGTATTTGCTCAAGTTATACTAAAGTAAAAGAATGAACTTGTTCAGATCGATAACGTGTACTCTGAAAACACAAATTTTACCATCATAAGTTTAATAATAATAAAGGAGAAAATCAAGTTTGACGTTTCATTTTTGAATTTTCAAAGGGCGCCATGAGAAATGACAATAAAATAGCAATGATCTGTGGTTTGCGACGGTGTGGTAAATATGTCAACTATGGTGCTGTTACGTGGCTGTATAGGGGCCTAAAATTCCACGCCCTAAGGTGGGTCAAACATATAAGTATTTAAAAATAATGAATGCACATGCTCTGACCTCTTCAACATGCCTTGATTATGTCAATGGAAAAAACATTGTGCACAAACTCACATGCAAAGTTGTGGCATAGTGTGTAAGCAATATGTGTTTACTTCCTCAGGTTTATATCTTTCCTACTTTGCATTAATTTCTTTTCTCCTATATATTTGGACTTTTTTGTAAATCTTTTAGTTTAGTTATTTTTCATGACTTGCTTTGTAATAAAGCCATGTTAGGCCCTCAATATCACTCTCTCTTAGAAGAGGCCACATATCCTGCGACAGATTTTTCAGACAGACTGCCATATCTCTAAGATCACTAGCAAGGTTCCTTTTTTTTTTTTGATCATCATGAATTCTATACTTAAAAATTCAATTAAAAAGAAGGTATACAGCAGACAAAGCCGCCATAAGAAATCTATACTGTAGTTCTAATAGAGTTGTCACATCCAGGAAAGCAAGAGATGCAGTGGGATGACAGTCGGTCTTAGTGTACTCACTTTTCCATGACCTTCGCTATGTATGGCAGGTGCATTTCTAGACTGTGCTCATTCTCATCAACATGAATCGATACCTCTTCAAATGCACCTGTCTCGTAAAGTTCTTCATAAACTGCAAACACAAACACACGCCAATTACAGGTTAATCAAATAGCATTGAAATTCATAATCAGCACACTGATGCAAAAACCTCTGTACCACTGCTCACGAGGCTCCAATTTACTGACAGAACAATTAGTGTGAGCTTTTTCAAAGAGACGATGCCAAGGTCAAAGAGCAGTGCTTTCAACGAGTCAAATGGGGTCTGTGATGTGCATGTCTCCCTCCCCTGCCCCCTTGCATTGTTCGCCATTCAGTTCACCCATCCAACTCAGGATTCCAAATGAAACAGTGAAATCACGCGAACACTATTCGAATGTACGCACCTTCATGGTTTATGGTGAGATCATATAATGGTGTTCTGTAGGTTTTGGCTGGGGAGAGACCACATCCTCCAATTCGAGCATGATGGGAAGGTCCCAGGATGAAGACACGTCGCCTGAAAGTTATACACGTTGACCTTCAGCGCTAAGCAAGGCCTACATATCCCTATCAGGTGCAGATAATAATGCTTAAGATCACATACCGTAATTCTAAGGCTCTCAATATTACATTAAAAAATGAAGTCATTTTTTAGTGTGTTTCTGTAATTATTTGTAATTAATAGAGGCTGGATTTAGAGGCACTAAAAAAGCAAGTTTTATGCACCAAAAATAAGTGGGGAAAATAGTTTTGGCACCCAAAATAGTAAATATAGGCACAATAACCTTTGAGAAAATTTAAACTTACGAAGAAATACGTGCGGTCTGTGTCTATGACAGGAAAGCAAACAGAAGTGTTTTATTTATTTATCGAACAAAGGTGCCAATTATATAGCATAGCCATGCAATTTTTTTTTTCATGCCGAGTTTGCAAAATAAATCTAGCGTGGTGAGCTAAGTGTCCTCCGTCAAACAAACACGCTTCTGTGACATCTTTTTTTTCTTTTTTTTTTTTCATGAATGGTACGAAGGGCTACACAGGAGCAAGTAGCTAGAGCGTTAAAAGGCCAGAAGGGTCTTTTTGTCTCATATTAACTTCGTCTAACCGCAACATGCCAATTTCTCATCTGTCTGTTAACACCTTAAAGGGCCCTTGACCAAGTTTGAGAGTTTAGATGTGGCAAGAGGAATGCATGCACTGGCGCTCACGATCTCATCTGCCAAAATTTGCAATGCTACGCACCCTGGAAAGATACGCAATGCCATGCGCCTTGAAACCATTGGCTATACTATTGCTACATCAGTTGTAATGAGTAACACCCCAAGAGGGAATTTTGAGTGAGCCAGAGCGAGTATCAAAACGCTGCAATGGGCCGCTCCCACATGATCCATACATGGGTCATGATTTGATGGCACAGTATACCCCTGAAGCCCTAAAGGGACACTAAAGAGCAAAATTATTTTTTCGCGTATTATTAATGTGGGATGTCCTAGTTCTATTATCATCATGCCTGCTGCAACATGTTTGGCAAGTATAAAAAGGACAACAAAACTAAATGCAGGTAACAAGACCATCCTGAATATACCTGCTCAAGTCCTTACGTTTAGAGTGTGTCTACCAGGCCCTACATAGATCCCAATCGGTAAAGACGAAGTAGATTATCCCCCGAGGGGCCATATGCCTAACGTAACAAAGCCAATGTTGCCAAAATACAAAAAAAATATCAGTTTGGAATATGTGATGTCACGCGCAGAGATTTCAGCGAGAAATTCACAATTTTAATTTTGACCTTTCTTCTTCTCATCAAACTTATAATAGCGAAGTTAATAACACTATAGTTTTCACAGCCCAATTTATTAATCTAAACTGACTTGTCCTCTTTGTTGTCCCTCAAGGTGCCTTCAGGAACAAAGCTACTATTAAGATTATCCGGAGCACTTTGAGGCGTGGCAGTATTTTTTCTAGAGATCCGAGGTCTCTGACCTTTGTTTAGCACTGAAAGGGCATAGTTGCAAGAAACATCGGTATACTCCTGAACCCTCTAAACTTGAAGGAGCATGAGCAATTTTCAATTTTCACTCCTCTTGGGAGTTTTGTTTTCTTAAATCAGTTGAAAGAAGCACTTCATCATCTGCACTCTCTTCGTGCTCTGTCTGTTTCAACTTAGCAGTGCTACGTTAGTTACAGAAGTTTTCTACCAACCGGCCCAGATGCAAGCATTTATTAAAGTGATACTGTCACAAAAATTTTAAAATTTTCAGTTTTTCAGCATCGAATAAAACAAGCCCTCAGAAGCCCGGAAAATGAACTGGTATGACCTAAAAAATTAAGTACCATTAATTATGTCATGTTTCTGAAAGCTAGTTTATGTTCTTACTGTACCCTAATGTCAAGACACAGTGTGAGCGTGTCATACCGTGCTTGCGCGAGATATCAGGACGCTTCCGCGGCCGCTCTGCTGCGTGGCTCTGTTGGTGATGGACAAGCGGACATTTTGAGTGCTTTGGTAATTGAAATCCTCACAACTAGCAATACTGGTATGTGAAGGCACCAGAATTTACACTGTGGCATGATGTCTCGATAGTGTTGATGTCTGCAGGTTCAAAACATCAAACTTGCCTGCCTTCAACATCAAAATAAAACATTTTATCAGAATTCACTGAGCTTTGCACTTGTTCAAAATGATCAATGCGTACAGGAGAGATCTGTATGATATGTAGTGAATAAGAATGCCCTGCGCTAACACATTGAGTAAACATGGCTTCGAAAGCTGGCATCACTGTGCCTTTAACTCGCACAACCCACTCACACAGCCCTTTGCCTGGACAGAGGCACACCAAGTTTTTGTCTACAAGTGCATGCCAGTTTAGTGAAGCACAAACAAGAAGATAAGATACCCACACAGCAGTAGGGTCGACTTGCTTGTAGGCATGTGCGGCACAGGCACCACAGTACTGGTAGCCAGCATGCCTGCGACAAGAACGCACATGTTTACGTCAATATTCTTTGCTGAACGGGAGCTGAAATGATCAATAAGAACAAGGACATCAAACAGGACTTTACTTACGGCGCTATAATTGCCCGTGCTGGTCCAAATGTCGGTGGTCCAACAGCAGAGAGCCAGTTTTCAAGCTGATACCTTAATTCACGTGCTGAAAGACGAACGAAAATTATTACCACCATCATCATCATCATCAGCCAGACTTGTGGCACCATCTCCAATACCACTATCTATTGAGTTCAATTAAATTTTATGCCAACAAAATTTTTTGCTTTCATTGTTCAACCTAACACCGGTGTCACATGGGCACTTTTAATCGCGATCAGTGTCAATCCAGATTAGGTGCTGCTACATGGTCACTTTTAATCACGATCAGGCGTGATCGGGATCAAGACTATCATGATCCGTGCATTGCAATCTACATGAGAGATCTCGATTTCGCTGTCATCTGCACCCCCTCGCCGAGCTTGTTAAAAGCACAATAAACAAAATTCAAGCATAGCTTAATAAAAACACTTGAAATCAGCTTGTTAAAAGCACAATAAATAGGGAAATCGAGCATTGTTAAAGAAAAACACTTTAAATCAGCTAGATGGTTAAAAAAAGCAAAGTTATAAACTGTTCAAATTGGAGCAATATCTGAAATAATAAAATTTTAAGATTCGTATCGGCAGCATGTAGTTACAGGAGAAGCAGAGGACAAGCACATGATCATTGCCTTTCTCGCTTAGTTCAACTCTCGCACCATTTGAGCTGTTGGAGCACCTCGAAGCAAACCGATTGTGAGTGTCGCAAGTCTTTCGACTACGTCACAACGTACGTGCACTTCGTGGTCGAATGAAAAGACCTTTACAGCAATAGACAGCTGGAGCGACTGGAAGACTTAAGGTGCCAGAGGTGAAACTCTGGCGGGTACAAAAAGATTGACGCTTCGCTGCCACTGGACGACTATGAGAAGGAGCCATCAGAAATAAAGGAAAAGTTAAGAATCTCACAAAGCAATACACGTAAGTGTATCTCTATCGAATGATTGATTAATGAAATTACTTTTGTAATGGCAAGCAAAGTTTTGACGTTCGAGCAGTTTTTACCAATAATAACATTGCTGATAAATAGCTCCATAAAAAAATCCTGGGCAGAGTTGTCAGTGAAGTTTTACAGTATGAAAATGCCACCTGGTACATTGAATCTGATGCAACTTCGAACCGGATTAGCTTGTGCCATGTAACTGCGGTCATAAAGTTGATCATGATCAAGAAAAGTGGTCCGCATTGCCCTGATCGCGACTAAAAAGGCCTGTGTGACACCGGTATAATTCACTGCCATCTTTTCCTGTATTTACCATTTCTCGGCAATCATTCCATTGATCTCACTGACCAATGGTTGTCTGTCCTATGCATTGCACAGCCCTTTCACATGCTTTTCTTTTTTTCTGCCTTATTGTCAACTAGGACACTATTAACCCCCAGATCTATAGCCAGAGGCGAGCCTTAGGTCACACCCTCCTATAAAATTTTACGGAAGAAGATGTTTTACCAAAAAAAATAAATGAAAACAGATGCTTTTCCCAGGCCTCTAGGAAGTGCCCTCCCCATCATCCTGGAAAGAAAAAGTCCTGGCTACGGGCCTGCCAATCCTTTTGTTGTCCTGACCCAATCTGTCATCTTAAGATCTCTTAATGTTACTCTCATCATTTCACGTTCCATTGCATCCGAGTAATTTTTCAATTCTTTCATTTCTTTGTTACCCGACCTGTTTTTTTTTTTTTCCCCATATTTCAATATACTTATAAAGTGCAATGGCTGTACACTGCTCTCTTTAGAGACCTAATATCTTGCCAGCCACGATGCTGGAACCATACGTGCTTCAGTTAATTTTAATCCTTTGGTGAATTTCGCCTGTAGACTCCCCTGTTGGCGACTGGCCTAGATATACTACACTCTTCTACAGATTCTAAGGGCTGGCTGCCAATGCTGAATTCTTGTTCGCTTCGCCAGGCTACTTAGAGATTAATTATTGAAACACCAATAATAATAAAAAGAAACAGTGATAAAGGAACAGCACTGACAACCGGTCTTTCACAGTAGTAAGACTCGCTTGTTCTTGCTTTTGCCTCCCCCCCCCCCTTTACTCCTCCTTTTTTTTCTGCAGTTCTTAAATATTTGCACAGCAAGATAGCACTTTCATGTAACTCACCAGCCAAACAAACATAAATGCTGTGCACAAAAAAAGCCCATTTATATTGGAAGTCAGCTTGCTTAGACTTGAAGAGCAGAACATAGACATGCCTCATCATCATCATATCTTGTCTCCAATGCAGGACAAAGGCCTCTCTCAATGATCACCCACCTACCTAAGCTTGCATGAGCTAAATCCATTTTTGACCTGTTAGCTTCCCAGTTTACTCGATTCACCTTCCTATTTGTCATCCTCGGTATATATTGGTATCCTTTCTGATGCTCTAATTGACCGTTGCTTAGCCGTTTTTCTCATCCCGTGAGTTGCCTAGGTGCCACTTTCTTTATATAAATGATGATATAGCCAAACCTTGTTTGTTCTGCGATTCACTTTATTGTCCACCTTTCTCTTGAAGGAATGCTCAGTGATGAATACATACGAACAAGGCACTAAGTTGGGCTAGAGGCTAGACGAATACAAGACGCACATGTCCTGTTTTTCACTTGTTTTCATTTGCGTTCAACAGTGCAGTTAATAAGCCTTTAAAATGAATGTACAAACAGCTATAAAAAGCTATAAAAGATATGGGGCTTTGTCAAGCTGTTTTATACAGCTTTTTTCCTCTGTCCCAGCCACTTACTGTACAACTGTACGTGGTAAATGAACTAAACTCTATAAAAAGCCTGCTGTAGGCTTCCTCTGTATGCATGGGTGCTCAGCATAAAGTGCTGAACAAAGCAAGGATTTAGATATACTTTAACTCGATTCTAAAGTGGGTCCAAAGGCTCATTCTCGCAATAATGACCTATCGCTAGCACGACAAACGAAGCCACGGCGTAGGAAGTGCAGCAACTAGCTTTGGTCATGTTGGACGACTTTAATGTCGCGCAAGGAGTGATGACCCAAGTTCAGCAGCACCAGGCAGCCAAGGGGGCATTAGCTACGAACCCATGCTCATTTTTTTGTCAATGTGTCGCCAAAATAGCTAAACTTTCTCGCATTTTACAATAGTGATTCTCATCGTCACACAAACCTGGGAAGTCACTTTAGAGATGTTTGCATACTTCTTTGCTTTAGCATACCAGGTTACAGTATCCATAAACATGAGACAGGACAGGTGAGGTCACTTGGCACTGTTAAGATGAGCAAGGCAAGCATGAAATTTTCATAGAAATTTAGTGTATTTTACTTCTCTGCTGATATGAACTCTCAGCAGCGGCATAGTTCGAATTTATTGCCATTTTAATTTTTTTTGCCACAGTCACTCAGCGAAAATTAATGCTCCTATAATTGTGGTTGCACAAAATGCCACAAGATGTTGACACCATCATCCAGTAACACAGTACTTTGCAAAGATCTCTGCGAATACCAGAATTCTGTATGCACTAATATTCTGTATTAAAAAATTTGGGGAATTCTTTCAAACGCATCCAGATGATTGGTCACATGTGTGTGAGAGCAGACGATGCAGCATCACATCACAGTTTTGCGACCCCATGCGTTCAAGCTTTGTACACAGTGACATCACTGTCTGATTCTGAGCCAAGAAACCAAAACAGGAAGTCCTTCATATAAATAGGGTGATATCAGATTATTTAGCAAGGCTAAAGGAATCTTGGAGCACGTATCAAGCTTCCTAGAGCAATAAGAAGCGTTTGCAATAATAAAGCACGCAAGCCACAAATCTTATAGCAGCACTATTTGATCAAGTGAGGTGAAGACAGGTATCTGGAACATGACGACGAGGCGAGAAGATCGCCATTTGCTCACAAAGCCACGTTCGCATACCAGTTTGTCACAAGCGATCATATAACACTGTACATCTAAATAGGCAGAAAACATCAGCAGCAAGACTCCACGGTGGAATAACAACGCCGAGACCTGTAGGCAATAACGTTGAGTTGAAACTTCCAAGGTTGATGTCAAGTTTTCCCGTGATGCATTTTCTTTCTTACTTCGCGTCTAGTACTCTGCGAGACTACGACTATAAAAAGGCACGCGCGAACCTCCCATTGAGGTTCTGTCAGGTGTAAATAAAACACACTCTGCCATAGCATTGACTGTAAATAAAGAAAAGGCTGCACCCTTCCAACTAACAGGTTACATTCCTCGCGTGCGAACCCAAAACAGTATACTGGTCATTCTTGCAGCGAAGTAATAATTGAGCTACGGCATTACGCGGAAGCTGTCAAATCGACGTTGCGAGGAAGCTTCCAACTTTCAGACAACCACGGCAGCATTTCCGTTTTAAAACGCAGAACACAAGTAGCTAGCAAAGCGGTCAACATGGAAACCGCCGTATTAATGCTTAGGCCACTCACTCGTCCAATATACAATGAATGAATTACCTAATGCACCAAGAAATGCGCACTTAAGGAAACAAAAGCCTTTGTAGGAACAGCTGTGCTCGTTCAAAGGGCACGCGTGCCCCAGTTCGTCTTACCCGAATCGGTGTACCAACTACCAGCGTGCGACGCTTTTCTCACCAGCCGTTGAGATGACATCGCCGTGCCAATTTTGGTAAACTGTGTTCCCAATAAATTAAAGCACAGGGGAGTGGAAAAACGTCCCAATCGCGTACACCACAAATCCAAACAAATAGAAGCACGCTCGACCACGGACGCCCTCTTCTGGAAGATTCAGGGTAGGCTGAAAACGAAACTGAACAGGATTGCAAGCGATGTTGTCGGGGAGGGGTAAAAAAATAGCATTGAGACAGAAAGAAATGAGATTGTAAGACTGAGATATGCTTGACAAACACTTGTTGCTGGACTATTTTGTCTATACATGACGACATCGTCAGTTTAGCTGCTCTCATGTGATAGGCCCTTTAGCGCTAAAATGAAGATGTCGTCAAGATTGAGATATGATATTGAATTCTTGAAAGACATCCCCGCCGCACAGTAATATAAAGCCTCCTAAGAAAATATTCAAGGCGAGTGGAGCTTGGAACATCCACCATCTCGCTCCCTGTCGCAAACAAGGAGTGCCATCATCATCATCAGCATTGCGTAGGAATACCCCAGGCATGAGGTCGAACCAGCGACCTTTCAATCTGTAAACCCTACATTGTTTTAATACACTCAAAACCATTAACCACCGCTGCAAGCGTGACCCTCCTTTATCCGCTCCTTTAATTCGATGTCCTGACCTTGTGATCCAGTAATGATTGAAAGGTATACAGTCTAATTAAGGTGATTCCAACCTTTTTTTTTTTTCGCTGCCAATTGACACGGTAAAATACAATATTTCGCTGCTAATTGACACGGTAAAGTACAATTTTTCGCGGCTAATTGACACGGTAAAATACAATTACGTAAGGTCATAGCAGGTCAACATGTAACGCTAATAAAGCTGAAACTTACCGAGTTTGCTGCTCTAACATGCCCTTGGAGCTCATGTGGCTTCATGTCCCAGCTAACACAATTTAAGGGCAAATCCGTTTATTCCTCCATTATCACTTAAATATAGTGCTACAGGGAAGAGAAGGTCAAGTTAAACTGTCATTGCATTAGTGGTGTGCTGGTGGATGAAACCGAACTCATATAATAGCATTTCTCAGTAAAATGAAGTTCGCAACTTAATGTTGGAACCAGATATAGGTGTTCGGCAGACAAAGCTGTGCTAATCTGCAAGCATATACACACACCATTTGAATACAAATCCATTTAATTCATACATTTCATGTACTAGACTCGCAAAGCACATACAATTTCAGTCATTTCTAGAGAAAACAATCTTGCCATCAGGTTGAAGGAAAACCTTGCCTTGTGCCACCATTTCCATAGCTTCTGGGAAAACTCTATGCTCAACCTTCTTCACACGCTCTTGCAACGTTTCCTCAGTGTCGTCTAGCTCCACAGTTGTTGCTCCCTGGGCAATTATTGCCCCTGAATCAATTTCAGGCACCACGAAGTGGACCGTGCAGCCTGTGATCTTCACCCCAGCAGCCAAAACTTGTTTGTGAGCATCATGTCCTTTGAAGGAAGGCAGCAAAGATGGGTGGATGTTGATTATCCTGCCAGGCCACTTGTTAATGAACTCTGCTGTAATGATCCTCATAAAACCTGCCAAGATGATGAATTCCACCCCTGCTGCTGTCAGTGCTTCATGCAACTTCATGTCATACTCGGCCCTCACTTTGTAACCCTTGTGGCTGATGACCTTGGTCGGGATTCCAGCTCTCTGAGCCCTACGAAGGCCTTCCACACCATCCACGTTTGAGATAACAAGGACAATTTCAGCTGCACTTCGCCCTTTCATGTTTTCGATGTGATCAATAAGAGCCTGAAGATTTGTCCCCGACCCTGAAATGAGCACCCCGAACTTTCTCTTCACAATTTTGTCAGCACGAGTGTTAAGAGATTCCTGAAAATTTCGAACATTAACCTTTGGAGAGCCTTCTTCAATGGCCAAGATCTGTCCAACAATACGCCCTTGTCCTTCTGACTCATCGAATGATGGCTTGAGCATCTGACGGTGATGCAATAGCAACCATACCAATGCCACAGTTGAATGTTCTCAGCATTTCCTCATCGCCAATGTTGCCTTCATTGGCAATCCACCTTGAACACTGGCTGAATTGCCCAATTGTTGCAAGTCTAAAAATGCGCCGTAGCCAGGTGGCAAAACCCTCGGTATGTTTTCAGTGAGGCCACCACCAGTGATGTGAGCGAGGGCTTTGATGTATCCTTCTTTACAGCATTGAGTAGCATCTTAATGTAAATCTTTGTAGGAGTCAGCAGCACTTCACCAAGCCTTTTCGATTCTTCAAAAGGTGCACGGTCGCCGTAACGGAGACCCGCACGCTCCACCACTTTGCGCACCAAGCTGTAGCCATTGCTGTGGATTCCCGATGATGGAAATCCAATGATGACATCACCGTCCTTGATGTCACTTCTAGGGAGGACTCTGTCTCTTTCCACAGCTCCAACAGAAAATCCAGCCAAATCATAGTCACCAATGGCATACATTCCTGGCATTTCAGCTGTTTCACCACCTATCAACGAGCACTTGGCCTGCCTGCAACCTTCAGCAATTCCAGCAATCACTTGCTTGGCAACACCAGGGTCCAGCTTACCACAGGCAAAGTAATCCAGAAAAAACAGGGGCTCCGCACCCTGGGCTAGAATGTCATTTACACACATGGCCACAAGGTCAATACCAATAGTGTCATGGAAGTGAAAGCTCTGAGCAATTTTCAATTTTGTGCCAACACCATCAGTACCCGAAACAAGAATAGGATCTGTATAGCCTGCAGCTTTCAAGTCAAACAGTCCTCCGAATCCACCAATCGATCCCATTGTACCAGGGTCGTTTGGTCGAATCGGTCAGTGCAGTGATGCTTTTTACCAGACGATCACCAGCTGCAATGTCCACTCCAGACATCGAGTATGTCAGCGGGTCTTTCTTGGACACACGACCAATGGCCCTAAAGGCAATATCATGCCGGAAGAACTTTCCTTCAAAGTGCACAATCTCTGCACCAAGCTGAGCAAGCTGCTTCGCAGTTCGAAGGTCAGTGTGAGTAGCAAGGCAGACCATTACACGTCCACCAGATGTCACAATGTGATTTTCGCTCTTCGCGGTGCCAGCATGAAATATCTGCACGCCATGTTCCCTGGCTTTCTCAAGGCCTGTGATGATCTTGCCCTTCGGATAACTTTGAGGGTAGCCACCACTGGCAAGGACAACACCAACAGCATACAAGTTCTTCTTCCAGATGGGAATAGCTCGTGGAAGGTTGCCTTCAGTGCAAGCAAGCATTGTCTCATAAAGGTCGGACTCAAGCAAAGGCAATACAGATTCTGTTTCGGGGTCTCCAAATCTACAGTTGAACTCCAGAACCTTGGGCCCGGACTTAGTGAGCATGATTCCTACAAAGAGAACACCTACAAACTTTCTTCCATCTTTGAGCATGCTATCCAGGGTTCTCTGCACGACCTCTACTCTGATCTGCTCCATTACTTGATCCGAAACGAGTGGGCAAGGGCAGTATGCCCCCATCCCACCGGTGTTAGGACCCTGGTCACCATCTTTGAGCCTCTTGTGATCCTGGACTGCCGGCATGATGGAGTAGTTGACACCATCCGAAAAGACCAGAACGGAGATCTCATCACCGTCGAGCAGCTCCTCGACAACGACGGTGTCCCCGGCGGATCCGAGGGACCTTGTCTTTCATGATAGTGTCGATGGCAGCAATGGCTTCGGTCTTATCAGCAGCGACAATGACCCCTTTGCCGGCGGCCAGGCCACTTGCCTTGACGACGAGAGCCGGGAAATCGGCGTTTCGGATGTACGTTTTCGCACTCTCCGCATTCTCGAAGTTCTGGTACTGCGCTGTCGGGATGCCATGTTTGGCCATGAAGTCCTTGGAGAACGCTTTGCTAGCTTCGATTTCGGCTGCCTTGGCGCTGGGGCCGAAAGCATTTGACACCGGCCGCTTCGAGGTCATCGGCGAGTCCGCGACACAAATACTCCTCCGGGCCGATGGCCACGAGGGCGATGCCATTCGCTTTGCACCAGTCGACGACCGACTTGTTGCTCTTCACGTCGAGGTCGACGTTGACAGCCTTGGATTCGGTGCTGGTGCCGGCGTTTCCGGGCGCAACGTAGATGGTCTGGATGCGGGGAGACTGCGCGAGCTTCCACACGATGGCGTGCTCGCGGCCACCGTTTCCGATGACCAAGACCTTGTCGTACATAGCTGACGACGCTCGGCGTGCTCCGCACAAAAAGTTCGTTGGCGACCTTTTCCTCCACGCGACGCACTCGAGGGAGCACCGTGCGAAAGTGGCCCGTCTGCACTTGCGCCCTGTCGCCCGCTGTGTCTGGAATGATGGGAACCCTGGGGCAATTGAAGCGGCTCAGACCATACGCGATAAGATAGCAAGACGACGTGCCGGCCCCCCGTGCGTCGGCGGTCAACTCGCGGGCGAAGGCGTTTCACCACCGCGCGCTCCCAACCGCGCGGCCGCGCCACGCGATTACACGATAACAACTTGGACTGGTAGTGCCATCCAGTGTCGCTATTGTCGTAACTTAAACTTGAAGCTTAGTTTGCTCGAGCCATACCGAGCGCACTTCGCTGCACATTCATTAACCAGTATTTGTATACTGTATATTGGCAATATATATAGTGGAACAATAGTACACGCTACATGCGAAGCTTGTAAACCACCGAGAAAACGGAAGGCCATGTGACGTGGTAGATGTTTGCTTCGTCTTCGTTTCTCCCGCCTCCACGCGTATCGCAATGGCCTTGGGGTAAGAAGAGGAGGGAGAAAGCCGTCCGTCGGGGGCATTTTTTCCTCCGTGCCGCGGGACACCTGCCAGGAATACGAAGGCGAGAGCTCGACCGCGCAGAAGACTGCGCACTTCTGCGGGCACCTTGTGCGGTAGCGTCTCGTATAATCAGCCGCTGAACGAATTACAACTTCCTCCTCGAATTATACCCCCAGTGCCTTCGTCAAGCGATCCCATTTGGCGCTGCCGTCGATCGGTATAACCGGCTGACATTGCAAGCGTGCCACCCGAGTATGCAGCGACGCTTTTCAGTTCCTGTAAAATTGTTCAATAGCAGCAGTCAAGCTAGCTATTTACTTCCCCCTCCCCATCTCCCCCCCCCAAAAAAAGAGAAAGAAAGAAAGGGGGGGGGGGGAGCTTCCCAGCAACAGTAACATATCTTTCGTTTTTCTGAATACCTGTTACTTGTGGGAGCTGTTATATATCGAACCATTTTCTTTTGTTCTTACATTTCGTTTTAGAGCCACAGACGACCTCCGGAGCATCGCAGCGATTGTCGAGCCTGCGGGCGCGTTGTCTATGCTCGACGAAGTTGCGCAACAAAAAGTTAAAACCTCTGTGTTTTCTCCACCATCAAACTCCCTCCTTCCCCTGAACTTGTCCTTTCTTTTTTCCTACTGCTGTAATTTAGCGTAACACACGACTCGCGCTGAGCTCGATGACGCGGGTTCGATTCCCGGTCACGGCGGCCACATTTCGAAGCGGGTCAAAAATGAAAGTAATTGGAGCTGGTGAAACCTAATTCAGAGTAATCCGGCGTAAACAGGACAAACGCACAAAACAGACGTTGTTTTCCACCGCCATACTACATCGGAGTGTCAAACACGCAGCCCGAAGACCTTTCGCTAGCGGTCCGCACATGGCAAAGTTCGCCCTATATTTTCCTTATGACTTCATGACTGTTTATAACATCGCCAAACGGTTCTGGCATTATTTTTTCGTCTATCTTTATTAATAGCGCTTTGCTTGTGAGCTACACTGACGCGATCTGGTCTTAAGCATATTTACTTTTTTTTTTCGTGAGTTACCCTATAATGCTATAGACCGCACCCTATAGTCGCATAAGCGTGCGCAAGGGGGCGAAGTCTTCCCCACACAGTTGGCTGGAAAACATTAGCTAAAGCCTTGACTACCTGAGGAATCCACCCATCTTTAAGTAACTATTACACGCCCACTCCATCAAAACATTAGCGCATCTTGCACGATACCCAGCGCGAACTCAGCCTGGGATGCAACACTCCCCCCTCCAACCTCTTCTTTGATCCGGGACATAGCGCACGCCTAGCTATCGATGCGCATTACAACAGCCACTCACAATTAACGCCACTGATCTCGCTGCAACGACCTCTCAAGTGACACTGCGATCATCGCGTCATATTTCCGTAGTATCAGCTGCTCACAACAAAACTATCAAACATATCGCTCACTATAATAGACGACCCTTCGCCACAACACAGCTTCGCCGTCTGTGTTTTCTGATACGTGGCGACGCTGCAGCCCTCCGCTCTTATCGTTATCTCCCGCAGACGGGCTCTTCACGGGCATCTGCTTTCGACGTCGCACGAGCACGGATGACTGGACAGAATTTGTACGCTATGCCTTGCGAGACGGTCGCCTGTCGATAATCAATTCGCCCGCGTGGTGTAAGCGTCTATCAAACCACAGTTATGAGAACGGTGGAATTGTACGATAGGCTCGATCGCTTCCCGCATATACACAGCTGTTGAAACCGATAGACAAGGCAAGGAAAGCACCGATACATTGTTTGTGGTTCCCTATACCAGTAATTATTCTCACATAAATTGAAGAAGAAAAAAAAAAAAGCTCACAGGGTCCCTTGTTCATTCACCTAAGATGACTCTTGTTTTTGTTCCTCAAATACTTGACACAACCCTCCCGAAGCCATGAATTGAAGTTCTCTTGCTGAAGGAAAGAGTTGAAAAATGAATAGCTTAGTAATCACTCATATAACCTCGTAAACTTGAAAAAAAAAGATAAACAAAAACGGCTATAATTACATACACATCTGCACTGAATGAGATAAATGCGAAAAAGAAATCGACTTCAAGGGCGAAAGCCACTTTCATTTGTTTTCCCTCAGTCGATGTACAAGGGAGCTTCACTGCCAAGCGCGCTGTCTTCATTTTCTCCTCTCGGGGTGGTTTTGTTGGCCGCCCACAGAAAGACGCTACAACCGCGTCGCGTGGCGTCACTTACAACGTCGTCACGCCAGAATCTGTGACGCAATGGTGGCGCCACACGTTATTGCAATCTAGGACGTCATGATGACGTCATCACGTGATCGTGGCTTTTTTCATCACGGTCGCCGAATTTCCCACTTGATGAGGCATCTATGGCTCTCGCCTTAAAAATTGAAGTGACCAGGGTTGGTTGCATCACGCGGCACATGTTGCCGTGCATTTTGCTGCGATTAATTGATCGGTTTGTGATGTATCCTTGTCAACCGAGAATTAATAATAATATCTGGGGTTTTACGACTCAGAACCACAATAATCCTGATTTGTGGGGTTTAACGTCCCAAAACCAACACATGATTATGAGAGACGCCGTAGTGGAGGGCTCCGGAAATTTCGACACCCTGGGGTTCTTTACCGTGCACCCAAATCTGAGAACACAGGCCTGCGACATTTCCGCCTCCATCGGAAGTGCAACCGGGATTCGATCCCGCGACCTGCTGGTCAGCAGTCGAGTACCTTAGCCACTAGACCACCGCGGCGGGGCTCAGAACCACAATGTCATCACGGGATACACCGTATTGGAAGGCCACGGAAATGTCGACCATCTGGTGATATTTAGCGTGCGCCGTACACGGGCCTCTGGCATTTCACTTCCACCGAAATGCGACGGGGATCGAACCTGCGACGTACGGGTCAGCAGCTGAGCACCGCCATGGCCGATCCACGGCGGCGGTCTGTCGTAGCTGAAAGACCCTGGAGGCAGCGGTTCGCCCTGGGAAACCAGTGACGAAGGGCTAAAAGGTAGGAGTGCATAGTTTTCACGTAGCTCTAGACCTTTACATTGTCAGCATTGTCAGAACTTATCGTATATTCAATTTTTTTTTCTGGTTATATGTTTCCATGCTTTTTCGAGAAGTACGTGAACTAAGAAAGCGTGTTGCAGTATTTATTTAGTTAGTTAGTTAGTTAGTTAGTTAGTTAGTTAGTTAGTTAGTTAGTTAGTTAGTTAGTTAGTTAGTTAGTTAGTTAGTTAGTTAGTTAGTTAGCTTATTTGCGCCTGTCATGAAGCTGAGAAAGAACAGCTGGCCTCGCTAATCATGATAGCAATATCTTCTGCACTGCACGCACATAACCAAATACGAACAAAAAAGAAGGCAGCAGAGAAGCACTCCGTTGATACACCCTTCAAGCCGCTCGAGCCATGCGTAGAAAACTAACGTGGGAGTACACGGCATGCATCAATCAGGTTAACTTGTGCTCTTTGCTAAACATTTACACCGTTGCGCAGATTTGCAAAGATTTGCAGCCAGTAGCTGTGGTGTCAAGTTCGTCCTAGTTCGAAGGTATGCACCGAGAAATGCAAAATAGTGTGCGTACTCGTGCGTGTATACTGCACTTTGGTTTAGGTGCACGCAAAAAGAACACCATGCAGGTGGCTGAAATTTGATTGATTGATATGTGGGGTTGTTTGTGCCAAAACCACCATATGATTATGATAGACGTCGTAGTAAAAGGCTCTGGAAATTTTGACCACCTAGGGTTCTTTAACGTGTACCCAAATCTGGGCACACGGGCCTGTGGCTGAAATTTACAGAGCCCTATATACACTACGGCGTCTTTCATAATCACAGTGTGCATGGTTCTGGGACGTTAAACAAAAAAAAATTGTATATATGTACTACGCTTGCAAATTGAAAATTTTCGATAACTTTATCTTGTCATTTCATAACCACGTGGCAAAAAAATAAAAAAATGATAAAATTACTGCACACGCTGTCCCAAAGCAATAAAGAAAGCGATAAGAATTCACCGTAGTTCTGTTGTAGAATGACGTCATTCGTAGCTCTTCATTTAAGACCCTGTCCTGATGTTCCTGACTGGCGCTCATTGGCTGTCGTAAGGGCCACGAGTTCCTTTAAAAACTAGACGAGGGGCGTTGCCCCCAGTTAGCATCGAAGCCCGGCGTCGCGGAGGTACTCCGCAAAAGTCTTCCAGAACAGTGCCACTGTTCTAGGGGACTAATTCACGAAGCAGCGCAAGAACTTCGAAAAAAAAAAAACCATTGCCGCAAAGGAAGACGGCAGAATGCTTAACGGAGAGCGTCGCGGTGCTTCTGAAGCGGTGGCTGTTTCCACGAAGCAGAGGAGGCTGATGAGGATGGACAAACTGACGACGTGGGTGCTGGGCGCACTCCTGCAGGCCTGCTTATGGGACTTTGGGACAGCGGTGAGTAAATTAGTAAACATCGTATACTAGGAACTTTCCTCTGGCTTCCTACGCCGCCTGTTCGAAAGGCATATCGTATAATAACAGAGCTGAGCTGGTTGGTACGTATTCATCCTGAAAGAGACGGGGCATGCAAACGCGGACACGTGAAAGAAGCCGGGACACTACAAACGCCTACTAACAACTGAACTGTGTTGTTGGTAGGCGTCTGAGGTGTTCTGACCTCCTCTCCGTGTCCGCATTTGCATGTCCAGTCTCTCTTACAATGTACAGCGTAGATTGCTCAGCATCTTAGCACGCTTCGACGTTTTTGTGAAGCTGCCACAAGGGGCGTTTTTTTTTTTTGTGAAGTTTACATTTCGTACAGTATGGCGTCCATTTTGGTGCAGTGGTTAGTGTTCGGCTCCGAACCCAATGGTCCTTAGTTCGATTCAGGCCGCGGTAGTCGAAATTTCGACTGGGGCGACAATGCTTAGATTCAAGTGCACGTTAAAGCAACCCACGTGGTCGAAATTTCTGGAACCGTTCACTACGACGTGCTTCATTGTCATATCATGGTTTTGACCCGTAAAAAACGATTCATTGAGCTATCAGCGAGCATTTGCTAGAAGGTGACTTGCTGTATCGTGAGCTGCCTATATAGAACCTGTAGGCGTTGGACGTTTGCCTTGTCGGAACGGTCGTAGGGATCTCTACTGTCGCGTTAATGGAACGCATTTCAATATTATTTTCCCTTGTAAGACTTGTAGAACAGCATTTGGGGCAATTCAGTCATACATAACTTAATAACGACGGCGCAACAAATAAGCACGGATGACGGACACGCCCAGCGCTGGGTGTCATCGTGGGTTTTGTAGTTGCGCAGTTGTTTTGAAAAAAAAAAAATCCCTGTTGAGCTGTTCAAATATTCAGTTCTGGTAGTTAGCTGATTCAAGATGTCGGTTTCAACCTGCGTGAGGGGGCAGGGGCGGTACCGACGGGGGGCATGGATGGGCAGAAGCCCCTCCAAAATTTTCCCATGCCCCCCTTTGCCCCCTCCCCTGGAGGAACAAAATTGTCGTCGGTGCCCCCACCCCCTTTAGAAAACAAAATCCTGCCTCCACCCCTCGTGAAGGGGGTGTCAAATCACCATGAAAATTTTCAGTTTTGCGCATGTGTATACATGCGAACATACAAACACGCACGAACATGCAGTAAGAGGAGTTGAGACGCCTATAGAAAATGCCTGGCTACGTCACTGCTAGCGAGCCCCGCCACGGTGGTCTGTATAGTGGCTTAGGTACTCGGCTGCTGATCCGCTGGTCGCGGGTCAAATCCCGGCTGCAGCGGCTTCCTTTTCGATGGAGGTGAAAATGTTGTAGAAAATGTTGTAGGCCCGTGTGCTCAGATTCGGGTGCACGTTAAAGAACCCCAGGTGGTCTAAATTTCCGGGGCCCTTTACTACGGCGCCTGTCATCCTATTGTCTGCCATCCTATGCCACCCTGTCTGTAATTGGACTATCGATAGTGTAGAGAAACTATTCGTAGTACTATCAATAAACAATCGATATTCTCGATAATTCAGTCAGTAGTACAATCATGAGTATTGCTGTCGATATTCTTCCCAATAGTATACAATAGCCTACTATGAGCAGTATTCGGTTTGCTGAGCAGTCTTCTGGTGAAACAAATTAATTGCCGCAGTCAAAACTCCGAAATATGCCCATAAATTTATAATCAGAACTAGCCGGCTACACCTAAAATTCGTGTTTTGATATTTTTCTTTTGAAATCGCAAAGTGCAATACGACTATGGAGCTGTGCAGTTCCACCACATATAACAGCTTCCACCCAACTCGGCTTAATTATGTGTCAACCAATCTTGCTTAATTATGTGTCAACCCATCTTTCTGCCGAAGAAACGGGCGCATGTCAACTTTCTTGTTTTTCTGTCTGTTTCTTCTGCTCCACCACACAGTACTCAGAGAATTCAGTTTACGCTGCATTGAGTTCGTTCGGTTGAATCCACACTGTTAACTTGCTATCGCTCGCTCGCTGGATTTCGTGCCGACCAGTTGGGCCCCCGCGTTCTCAGACGACAGCGCAGCTCTGGCCGACCGGCTCGCCCTACGCCATCTCATGACGCCGACAAGAACTCTCGCCGAGTGGTGCCCCGTCCTCGGACTCCTGCGACCGCGTCCATCTTTTCAATCTTCTCCTTACTTCCCTATGTGGTTGTCCCAGCGCCTCGCTCTCCTGCCACGCTCTCTATACTTTTTAATCCTATCCTTTCAATCTCTCTTACCCCCACCCCTTGTGAGCTACTGTTGAGGTGTCCTCTCCCTGAGAGTTACGGGGCTCACTGTTATCTTTTCATTTAACTATCGCTTACTACTATAGCATATGTGTACCATTAATAGTTCGATAGTGACTCGGTTGTGGTATTATGTATAGTACCACAGATAGTTCTGCACCACTACTGTGGGCTCAGATTCGAACATCAGAAAGTGTGAACCACATTAATTCCGGTTCCGCCACTATTGATACACGTGCACTTAAGTTAAAAGACAATAAATGGTCTCTATTGTTTACCCCGGTTGTCTGTTGGATAAATAATGAACGTCTGTCATTTCCCAGACGGCACTTCCCGCTGCGTTGGAGTCCCGGCTGTCTCGGGCAGCGCTGCAAGTGATTCTCAGCCACACCACGTACCCGAGCACCAGCCTGGTTCCGCAGTTCGTCAGCGACGAGCGGCTCATGCACTCAAACTTCCGGACAAAGTCCAGCATAGGAGACCGAGAGGGTATGACTTCTCCGGCCATTTTTTTTCTTTCATTGGAATAATTAAGGTTGACTCTTCTGGCTTCCTGGTTTCACCCTGAAATATCTCATAATTTATAAGTTGTCACAATTTAACTTTTCTTCAGTCGTGTTTCAGAGAGCTACCACTTTCTGAAACACGTCGAGACCCTGCTCAACTGCTCAACGACAGTAGTTGCTATAGTAAACTTCATCACCAAAAAATATAATTGCTGCATCAACCGCGTATTTTACACCTTGAAGGCTCGCCACTGCGGAGAAACATCGCCAACATACATCGTAAACAGAATTAGCCCGATAAGTGAATTCTGAGAAACCCCGTAAAAATAGGGCATGCAGAAGACGGGGTCATTAATCACAGCTTGTAAAGCATGCAGTTTTATTAATAAAGCATTGCGGTTGACAACGTCGAACGTTGATGGTGTTAATTTACACTACGTCTACATTATCACTTAGCACTTAAGTAACGTTTCGCGTTACAAACTTTACGGTAGTAGCTTCGATTGGAAGCTATGCATATTTTAACGTACGAATCTGGATTGATGGAAGCGACAAGCACGTTTAAAGTAGTTCTGAAAAGTTGTTGGGTATGTTGCAGTAACTTAACCTTGTGCATCAATGACAATGAAATAATATAATACAGAAATAAAAGTCACTCACCACCAATACTGAAAATGAATCAAAGCAAAACTGGAGATAAGTTGATAAGTTGTAAAGCTCGCCAATTCTTATGGCGTCACGCATTTTGACTTCCTTTGCTCGATCCAAATTCGTTTTTTTTTTAGTAAAGGCATATGTTATGCACGCCAAGAAAAAAGCCAACAAGATATTCGAAAACAGCTGAGCCTTCGTGACTCAACTGAACGAGAAAAATGCTTAGAAATCTAGTGCGACAATGGCGTACCAGCTTTGGCTTCGAGCGTGAAATTTAATTATCACTTTTACTAACGTATTTCTCCTCTGATAATCAACATATTGCGTCGAAATGAAGTGCAATATTAAACGACAGTTCTTTTCGGCCAAACCGATCCAGCACTTGATGCCCTTTAAAGGGGTCATGACGCGGTCATCCACCACATTGTGATTTTCAGCAAAATTAGGTCATTCGGTCCATACATACATGAAAATGGACTGTAAAACTTCATTGTAACATGACCCCTAAAATTTACCGGCTATAAACCCAGCCCACCGCCGGTGACAGCGATTTTATCACAGCGTCCTCAATATAGTTGTCCTCTATACTTCAGTTTCAGTCGCTGCAAAACGTTTAGTCTTCAATGCCAATGTGGGGAACGGTGAAATAGCTCCATTGCACGCGCTGATCACGAAACAAAATTTTGTTGGATAGAAAACAGCCACTCACAAGGCAAGCGCATTGTTCCGTCACAGCTCACGAGCGCACCTGTGATGTCACTCTGGGGTCGCTCTCTTGTTCATAAAGATATTCAATACCAATTAACTTATCCACCAATACACTGAAAAAGGGTGTCCATGCAGGCTAGTTGGTTTTTCACTACAGGCTTTTTGGGTGTAGCGCCACGTACAAAAATTGCAAGAAAGAAGTTAACAGGAAAGAGGCGTACTGGCCAATAAGCTTCATTTTGCGTTAATTGCACATTAAAAGCCCCCCCCCCCCCCCAAAAAAAAAACACGTGTTTCTGCTAACTTCTCTCTTGCGGAATATACGAACAGTGCAGCCGACAGAGGCAGATCAAGGTAACACAACGCTGTGTGTTACCTTCATCTGACGTTGTCTGTTGCGCTGTTCGTATTCAGTTATGTCCTACCAACTTGCCCAAGTTTCCACGCCTCATAAGTCTTTTTTTCAGATTGTCGTGCGCGACGCTACAGCGGAAAAAAAACTAATTCTCGATCAAATTTCCTGAAATTTAGCCGGCTTGTCAGTGATTAATGATTAATTAACATTACACTATGAGCAAAAGTTGAGTGTCACGGTTTCTTTGAAGGAAGCGTTCGTAAACGTTGCTCCTGTTGCATGTGTTCTTCGTTTTTCCTTTTAACCCAGAGCTGCAAGTGACGAAGCTCATGCTTACCGGCGTGAAGACGGACGTGTATGGCGCCGTTCGCTGGACGCACCTTCACCACAATCACTCCGACCACGTGATGGCCGTGGCTCGGAACAACGTCCACCTCTGGCGATTCACCAACCCCAACGTGGAGCTCCTCACTCGGAACGCCATCTTCCGCTTCAGCTCTGGTTCGGGTGAGCGAGCATTCCGCAGTTAGACCACGTTCATTTCTGCCCCACTGCAGGGCAAAGACATCTCCTATGTTCTGCAAATCAAGCCGGTCTTGTGCTTTCAGCTGCCACGTTATACCTGCCAACTTGTACCTGCGATCAGCCCACCTATCTCTGTCACCCCTTCGTGCATTTGCCATCTCTGGGAATCCAGTCAGTTACCCTTGATGACCAGCGGTTATACAAAATACGCGCTACGTGCCCGGCCGATGTCCATTTCTTCTTGATTTCAACTAAATCCCTAACCCCAGTTTGTTCCCTAATCCACTCTGCTCTCTTCTTATGTCTAAAGTTTAAACCTATCGTTTTCCTTTCCGTCACTCGCTGCGTAGTCTTCAATTTACGAAAAAAATGCAGGGAAATCGTAGACCAATATTGTAATTACGCGCATCGCCGCCTCTTGTGCACGCTTTTCAGATGACATCATCGATGCCACGGTCTTCCTCCGCAACGAAAAGAACTTCCAGAGCATGTTCCTCGTGCTCATTATTCGCACTGGCCTGACTGCGAAGCTGGTCGTCTACGAAGTGGACGCCGCTGGAGAATCATTGGTCAGTCCCGCAAACTCGAATTATGTGCGGCGCCTTCGCACTGTTTGCTCGGTGTGGCACGTTTAATCGACAGGTCGGTGAACTAGCTCACGAGTCTATATTCACTCACTCACCCAGACTTAAATTGAGCCGCTAGTCCGGGTGAGCGATACTTCGCTGAGCTCGAGTGAATCCTGTTGAGGAAAAGTCGAGTGTGAGTGCGGTCGACTGAAATTCATGTGAGCCTGAATCCTAAGGGTGAAATATTTCCTGAGTGAGTCTTCGTGAGCTGCGCCATTTTGTGCCGACCTATGGTTTAGGCACGTTCCCCGTGGTGCAATGTCGTTGCAGATCATCACTTATATAAGCAATAAAAGTTCATAAGTTAGAAGGCATCTTTATAATGAAAAATCGGAGGTTTCAGTTTCATTTACCAAATTATTTATGCTGTAATCGCAAGCTATAGGTGTAAAAAAAACACAAACTAACCATAACGACATATTTTGCCAGCTCTCGATGTCGCGAAAAAGACTGCAAAATTCGACGTACCTGCATGACTAAAAAAATACTGCCATTATGTGAATCCCAGTCCCATGCATTGCGCTTCCGTCTGAATAAAGAGGAGCTTGCGTAACGCAACTGCTTTACGAATGTCATAATGTCGTGCTTCACTGCAATGCTGGCAAGTGTGACGGGTAAGCTTTAAATGCGCAAGTTTTCTCTAATTATTTGCAAAGTACACCAGAAAATTGGACCCAGAACGGTGTACGCAACGCGGAAAACGTAGCACCTTGTACAACCTAGGAATACATAGTATCTCATAGGAAATACGCGGGAAAGCTCAAATCGGTGTCTGTGTTAAATTTACGCCGTGGGTCAATTGGAATTCACTTCTTTCTAGAATTTATAGATGCTCATGACACGAACTGAGGGTGTGAATGCGTACAACTACGCGTGATATTGCGATCTGTGACCGTTATAACGCATTGACAACTTTTTACGGCTCGTCAAATATGTTCAGCAGTTTGCTGCTTACTCCACCATAGAGCTACTGTGCATTGCGTGAAAGCAGACACCGTAAGATGCTGCACATGCGCATTCCCGTGATGGTTTATTAGAATTATACGCACATAATCAGCTGTTGGTATTTTCTTGTGAAGTGAAACCGCTTTGTTTAGGTTGTTTTACTAACGCAATTAGAGGCTTGCGTTCCCTACACATCGTTACGCGGACGTTACGCTTCTAGTCGCGTTAAATTTGTGAACACTCGGGATTTCTGCCACGGTGCTCGGCTATTCACCCGAAAGTCGCAGACTCAATAACCATCCCGGGAATCGCATTTGTTAAGGCTAGAGGCCCGTGTAATCTGCGATGTTAGTGCACGTTCAAGAACGCCAGGTGGTCAAAATTTCCGAAGCCCCTCCGCTAAGGCGCATCTCAAAATCATATCGTAGGTTTGAACCCTAAACGGCGGTCTATAGTGGTTATGGCGCTCGAATCCTAACCCAAAGGTCGCGGGATCGAATCTCGGCTGCTGCGGCCACATTTCCGATGGAGGCGAAAAGTATATTTAGGTGAACGTTAAAGAACACCACGTAGTCTGGATCTCGGAAGCCCTCCTTTGCAATGTCTCGGAGCCATATTGTGGTTTTGGTACGTACTACCTGATACAGGACTGACTACGTACTACCTGATACAGGACTGACTACGTCAACCGCAACTTCACCACCAAAAACATTACTGTGTGTGCGTACCTCTCCCTCTCTCTTCTACACAGCTCTACACACTGCAACTGAACGAGGTTCCCATCAAGGTCCGCTGGCTCCAGTCCCAACAGGAAGGGGCGCTCGTACTGCTCTTCCCTTCCGTGTACGCCGACGTCGGTTTCACGGACATACGCCAAGGTGACGCTTCCTCTCTGCTACAGTCTCCGTCACGGAATGTCTCGGGTCGGACCGCATTGTTATTCGCTCGAGTTTTGAATGCTGGCCACCTCCAGATATCTCCGAACAAAACTATCTGCGGTTTAATCAAATTCCGGTAACTGATTTGGCGTAGTTGTCACTTTGGTTTTATAGCAGCTTTTCTTTGGCAACCTTTTAGAATTCATCTGCTACAAATAGCATAATTGAAGTCGGAGCTCAAGTACTTTCCATGGAATGAACTTTGATTAACGCATCTCCTACAATGTACAGCTTAGCATAAGTGATAACACATTCAGCATTCATACAGATGCATACACGGTGAAGCTAAAAAAACGCTTTGAACTGTTACGCAGCATGACCAAGAAAAAAATATTCGTCACATATTAACTGCGACATTAAAACAAGAGATAACACGTACTAGTAACTGCGAATGATGTCACTGTCTTCAAGAAAAATTAAGTGGTTTTGAAGCGTGCTTCTGTAAACATCTAGTTGGCCATGGGCCCATTGTTTCCCGCTCTCGTGCTTATTAAACTACGCACCTCTTGAATTAATCTAGGGAACGAAGGCAGTGACCAGTAGAAAGACACTGGCATTGTTGAAGCATTCCTGCTAGTCTGTGTGCTTATTGATCAGTATATTAAGTTCCGTAACAACCGGTACGATGTACATAGCCCAGCTGTCTGCACTTGACAGCCTACTCTTGGTTTTTCAAACATTTTGACTGCGCTGTCAGCTACTGTTCCCGATGCAACGCAGGGGGCACGGTGCTGAGCCACGTCGTCAAGATCCACGTTCCGATGGCGGTGGACATGGAGACCACCACCATATCTGGTTACGGCTACGTCGCCGTCAACAACGCGTCGTCTGTGCTGGTCTACCGCGCCGATGACCTCGCGAGCAACTTCAAGGTCTTTGACATGTGAGTGCTGCTCTTCTGACAGTCTTTGCCCTTTTTTCATGAGCAATCGCTCCCAATATCAGCTACACCACCCGAGCGCGGGGCCGTGCGCACTGCAAGGTCTATAGTGGCGCCTATCAAGTCGTATCATGAAAGGTGCTCCCGATAACTGCAAGTTATCATTGTCGAGGCTGACACCATCTCGGGGTGAAACGAGGGCGATCTTGCAAATAAGTGGAGCCGATGCGCACTCGCACGGCCAGTGAAACTCTCCTATGATGAATATATCACAATCAGCGCCACCGTACAACCATATACAGTGCGCTTGGCCCACGCGCTTCTACAGTGTATAGCTTATACTGAGCGCGATATAATTCAGTCATTTCCTTAGAGCCCAACGTACAGGGACGGCTTCCTTCCTTTCTGACGTACATATTTCTTGCGCTCATCTCCGGTGACAACGAATTCATTCCTATCGACTGGAGTATTGTTGATTGTAACAGTTCATTTATAGATTGTTCGCACAGCTTTAAACCACATAAACCTAGAAAATCTTCAGACCATAATTTTGAACATTGCAGCTACAGAAGGAAGGAAAAGAACTGCTGCGACACTTAATTCGATACCACTGGCCTAATTGAGAGCAACAAAGCAGATAAATCACCTCAGCTAGTGCGCAACAGTCACGAAGTTTAGCCCTTCAAGGACCGTGAAGGAGGCTAAAACGGAGAAAAGGGGTGGAGAGGTGAACAAAATGCCTTCTGCCATTCGAAAGAATGTATTATCCATATCGCGTAAATGGATCATTCATAAAGAGGGTTTGGCGTCGGTATTCGAGGAACTTATCGGTGCTTATCTTCAGAATGTTTTTATAGCTGCACGGTGATTATTAAATACGGGTGTTATACCCCGTGGTTACGTTTAAACAGCGAGTGACCGCATGGGGTGCTTCACAAGAAAGATGCTTGCAACCAGTCCCGTCTTTGCCAAGAGCATCGGACGCGTCATTCGAAGGCCGCAGGTTCTATTTTCCTTTCTTTGCGTTCACATTACAATTACGGCTAACATCCCTCGTACTTCGCATAACTGTTAGTTCTCATTGTGTCTAAAAAGGAAACAAGCCCTCGAATTTCCACTTCTACACGAACAGCTGTCGATCACAATGAGAGTAAACAACGCGAATACCATTTGGCAAAGAAACGGTTCTCAAGGCGTGGGCCGTGTGTTCGAGACCTCTCCTTCCTCTAGCCGAAAATTGGCGCGCACAATGCAGGTTGCACGGCACCGATCTGACGGACGTGTCTCTGTTCCGAGTGGGCTTCGACAACGTGTTGGCCGTGGCGGGTCTCCGGGAGCAGTTCCTGTACGTGTGGCGCGGCGGTGGCTTCTTCCTGCGACAGGTGCTCAAGGTTCCGCGCGCCTTCCAGTGGCACCCCGTGGGTGTGGACTCGTGTCGGGATGACGTCATACTCGCCCTGGCCACCATGGATGCCTCCTATCCTCTGCGGCTGCACACCTGGTCCTCCAGGCTCAGGCGCTTCCAGGAGGTGGACAGAGGCAAGTAGTCGGCTCTTTTTTTTGGCGAGTCCGTGTGCAGAAACGGCGCCATCGAAACTAAATTTGCCAGTGCCACTTACAATAAGTGGATTTGGGCTTTTTTTCGCAGAGTCACGTGTAGAATTTTCTAGCCGCTTGTGGCGTTCTTTCAACCTTGTTTGCATATTTTCCAGAAAATATGCCGTATTTGCAAAATTCCAACGCCAACATTTTTTCGAAAAAAAATAGGCCTTAAAATCGCGTGCGCGTTGAATTCGCGTAGAAGCCGAAACTGCCCCCTAGCTGCCAATCTGGATGGCTGCCATCGTCATGTTTCAGTGCGATAAGGAGCTGTCTGACAGCGATAGTGAATGAAGTGCAATAAACGGTTTGTTCCCAGTTGAAGATAAAAAAAGTTTGCACATTTTGTTCGTTCGTGGAAATCTCATGCACGGCAGTAGCGGGCATATACAGTTCATTACTTTTTTTGTTGTTGTTGACAACGAATGCCCGTGAAAATCAATGCTTAATCTTTTATTAGTTTTTTTGTTCGATCTTGAAAATTGAGGGCACGATAAAATTCGAAGTGCGTTAAAATTGGGTTAATTAGCAAACGTGCATTTACTCGAATTGAGAATATCCTAATGACAACGCTATAAATTAAACATACGATTTCGTTCAAAAGACGGCATAGCACCGCCTTCATTTTCTTTTATCGGGCGCTTTCCTGTTTTCTGCGTCTACCGCAGAAAAGCGCTACGACGGCATTATGTGGGTTTACATCACAGTGCGTCACACCAGAATTTAACGTCGAAATGACGTCACAAGTTTTCAGAGTTCATAAGGTGACGTCATCATGTGATGAGCTTTTGCATAACTCGCCTCCAACGCCGCGGAGCGGTCACCATCACCGGTAAAGTTTTCCGTTAGATGATTAATCTGACTTTCGCTTTAACAAACCTTGAATGCCGGAAATAGGGTACTTGCCCCGCTTAGTAATGTCGTGGTCTCAAATGTGTCGTTTCAGGTACCGTCCCCCTTGGCGGTTTCGTCATTCTCAAAGACAGCCTGTCATCGTTCAGCATAAAGGACAACGCTTGGATGTTCTTCACTGACGCCAACAAGGGCACTCCCAAATCAATCATGGTTTCCACCAAGGTCACACTCCTGTCAAATCCGGTTCAAGAAAAGGGCTCCCAACTCGTGCTTCGCATGACGATGCTCAAGGTATGTGTTGAGTATACTTCGTGTCTTTCGCCTAGAGGAAATTATGCAGTGCCAAGATCCTCGCCCTTCATGTAAGCAGGCTGCTTTATTTATGCCTTCACATGGGAAGAGAGCGTAGTGGATTGAACAAACCGGTGGTAAGTATTTCGTAGTTGTAATCAAGAAGTAATGAGCATGGGTAGGGCTTTAGCCCATGGGCAGGGTAACAGCTGGGCATTAATGGTAACTGGCTGAATTCCAAAAGAAAGCAAACGCGCAAGGGGTAGGGAAAAGAAAAGTTAGATGGGGCCGAAGTTTGTGGATGCAGCGTGGCAGCAGCAAGGACAGTACCAGATCTGGTGAAACATGGGAGTGGCCTTTGTCCTGCAGTGGGCGTAGTGTGGCTGATAATGATTACATACGTGGGATACATTTTTCGCGTCACATGCTACCGTTGTCAGTAATCCGATCGGATGCTCGCGTTACTCTGTGGCAGCAGCTCTCAGCCATAAATTTTTCGGGGACCACCAGTGGAATTTTAGAAGTTGGGTTACCCCTTGCAGTGCGAGAACCAAAAAAAAAAAGAGGGGGGGGGGGGGCAGATCACAAATACTATTTCGTTATAGCCCAGCTCATGTTGAGGATGAAGAGGCAACAGCGAAGACAAGAGTGGGAACAAGATTAGTGCTGACACAATGATCCCGAATTAACACATCCTGTAGCACGCTGCAAGTGCATTTTGTTTCTCTCTGGAATAAAAATGGTTCAACTGAACTATCAGATGCCAATTCGATCTCGTCAGCTGTCAATCAGTTGTGCGGTTTTTAGTCCCATTCCACCTGTTTCTAAATGATAGCTCTTTTTAAGGAAAACCTAGAAAAGTATCCCCGCATGCATATGTTATCGAAAACAGCAAAAAAACGTCAAGAAAAAAACTTTTTAGTTGGCTTTGCCGCAGTACAATTACGTTATGCCGTAAAACATAACAAAAATTAGATGGCGCTGTTGTCATTGAATGTATTGTGCCTCCAAAGACGCCCCTGGGGTCCACGGACCCCCGCTTAATAACCAATGATGTTCCTGCGAGACTTTTCTTGTGTATCGCCCTAACGGGGCCACTCATCTCTCGAAGCCAGTGTTTAGAAACTAGACATCAACTTGGCATGTATTCTGTCACTCAGAACCATAACGAAGTTAATACAATGAGAGTGCGTATAGTAACCCACTGAGCGTAATGCCATCAAGCCTAGTAACTATAATATTGAGTTGCTTCGCGTAAAAGCATGTGTTAGAGTTCTGTTCATGGCGGCAACACTTTGACAAGGGTGAAATTCTGAAAAGCCTGTATGCTCACATTTATGTGGCTATCGAATAACCTTAAGGTTGTCAAAATTTTGTTGTGATAGTGTAATGTGCTTTACTCTTCAACAAACACGTAGTTCGAAAAGTGTTTATTGAATATCTTGAAGCGATGCCATAATAGTGGAGTTGCGCTTATTGTTTGTCGCCTTCTCTCATCCTGGGCGATGTTCACGTGAGGAGTTCGCGTAACTGCGAGCAAACAGATTCGTTCTGACTAGACTGGACGTCAGTGGTGACACCATGGCCAACGATAGGGATACCGGAGGGCACGTAGAGGACAAGTATTTGTTCGTTCTTTTTTTTTTGGCACGCCTGCGGCTCGTAGCGCTGCCGCGTCTTAAATTGTTAATCGTTATGGCAATCTGACCTCAATGGGTGCATTAACTTGAGTTATTAAAAAAAATATCTGAAGTGGATTTGGGGTCCTTTAAGTGTCGGCAAAAAGTTCTTACGAAGCCTTTTTTTCACCGACCAGGATCAACTGGACAAGCAGCAGGCTCTGCTGGGGCAAGCGTCCAACACCCTTCGGCATGCAATATCCACGAAGGCAGCGGTGAATGTGGTTCAGGTGAAGCAGGTCATTCGGTCTGTACTCGTCAATGGCCCGGTCTCCATGGGATTCGCAAAGTTGCCCGAAGGCTTGTCCATGGAGGGGTCCAAGGTCTCCATGAACGAGCTCCACAGCAAGATGCCAGAGCTCCAGAAGGCCATGAGCGACATCGGCTTCCGAATCCGCAAGCTCGTCTCCGCTCTCAAAGGTGATGGAACCTCTAGTTATCTCCTTCGGTCACGGTGGGCTCATGTTTCTCTACGCGACCTGGTTTTGTCGATTCTGCCGAATATCGAAGACAACTAAAATGAACACCGACCGCGAACGATTGCAGGATAAAAGAAATGACGGCAACGTGCCACACATGTTCGCACGTTGCGTAGCGCACGTCACATCTTAACCAGTTCATGACCGAACGAAAAACGTGCCAAAAAATATCCGAAATTTTTTCCTCGTCAATTTTAGTTTTTTTTCTCCTGAAGAAAAAAGAAACATTCTTTCAGTTCAACGGGATCCTTTTATTTCTCTAACCACGAAGATAACATGAGCTGGCTATGCCGCGTGTAAATAGAATAAAAATTTAAATGAAAACCACGACACGCCTGATCCAACATGGACAAGTGTGACCATCTAGCGTCAAGAAACCAAAGAATGAAGAGTGTCTTCGCTGCATTTGTGCGGGACCAATTTTGATGTCGTGTACATTTGTCGTCGTTCATTTGTACAGCAAAAGCTGTTATGAGATCACAAGGCTCACGTGCACTATCACACGAATTCAAGAAAAAATAACATTGATAAACAGATAAACCAAGCACTAGGATGGAAAGGTGGGCTAGTTGATAATTCATGATGGTTCAGCAAACAGGGAGCGCGGGGGTAAGACACAAAGCAAAGAGGAGACGCACAGCACGAGCGCTCATGCTGTGTGCCTCTTTTTTGCTTTGTGTCCGTGTTAACCCCCACGTTCCCAGTTCGCTGAACCATCAGATCAACCAAGGACAATGCGAAATTCAAACCCGGGTTTCCTGCGTTTCAACAGAGTATTCTATCACGGAGGCACGCCGGTGCTTCAAACTCCGTTGCAAGCTTGCCTTGGGCAGGATTGATGCTGGGAAAGGAATCGCGTTAATATGTGCAATAAAGCCTTTTCAAACAGCAAAGAAACGACCAGGCGTCACACAATGCGAACAGTGTAACGAGTGGGTAATCTAATGATGCAACCCAATATAAAAGCTTCTTGTTAGCCTATTAACGGTAGCACACACCCACTTCAGGCATAATTCTTCGTAGTCAGCCACTGCAAAAAGAATTTGCACAAAATTTTCTGCAAGTGTGTAGCGGATGCCACGCTTCTTCAAAAAAAAAATGGCGAAGGAGAACACAGTGAATGTCGGTCTGCTACACAAACATTATTTATCGCGTAGTGGGCACCCTGCAAGTGTGCTTGTAGCAGTTACCCAAGAGATTTAAAAATCGAGAAGGCCGCTCTTCCAGCTTTCGCTGTGATTGTGCTGCACGTTCCGCACAGGCCTGGTTTTTTAGAAAACCCCATGACAGTTATACTCCTCATAAAAGGGTTTGTAGATGTATATGGCATCGTTTACGAGATCGTCTGAGTGTTAACAAGAAATACAAATGAATACACATCTACAATACGAAGTTGCACATTTCAAGCAAGTGTCGCGAAGTGAACGAGGTAGCATTGTCGAGGCGACTGGCGACACTTGGACATGGTCTGCCTCGGTGAACCAGTGGCTCGGCTCCTGACCGTAAGGCCGCGAGTTCCATACTAGCCGCGATAGTCGCATTTAGGTTGACCCTAAATGGTGGAAGCCCGTGTAATGTCCAGAGCGCTATACACCAGATGGTCCAAATTTTCCGAGCCCTACACTACGACGTCTCTCATCATATCTTGGTTTTGGGATGCAAAATCCCACATTTTAAGCTTGGGCAGGGCTACTGGGACGTGCGTGCTTGGCGCGTAAACAGTCGGCCAAGGTCTGAGATGCGCCGGCTGTAGATCGAGCTTAGCAGCCCCATTCGGCGCCCGCGCAAGAAACACTTCACAGCTTCGCTTCACAACTTTGACTGCGTTCTCTCTGCGGTGCCACTATAAGTTAAGATAAAAAAAACCGGACTGTTCGCGCATTCGTTTTAATTTGTGAACAGGACTCTCGCACGGGAGCCGAAACGTCTTGCTTTTAGGTTGCCCTTATTCATGTTCGTTGTCTGTTTTCACTGCTTCCACATCCTTTTCGACCAGGTGGGTTGCCGCCAAACTCTCGACTTACTCTTCGCAGTAGAAGAAACTCTTGAACTGTGCCTGACTTTTAAAAAAGACTGCTGTACCAATGCGATTCTAATACGCTTCAATCTACCCAAACTTTTACATACGCTTCACTACCCGTGTTTGTGCTCCAACGTGCTACGCTCAGTCAGCAGTGGTGAAGAAACATTCGTTGCTTTGAGGGGTTAGAAGCAATGCGATGGTTGGAAAGTTAGAATCAAGTAACGTTTAGCATAGAATTTTAAGTGAATTGTTGAATTACTGGAATTTTATGCGGAGAAATATTTTCGTAAATTAAGTCTTGCCACGCAGGTCTTTCCACGGATATTGGACTCCTGTTATCTTAAAATTAAAGTGCACATACTGGTAAAACGGGACGAGTTAGAGAAGTCATTTATGCTTATACTAGACGCCCTCGTGATGTGCGATGTCGGCGACCGTTGAAGGACATTCCGATGGTCGAAGCTTTCTCAAGTCATCCTCTACGGCGTGCCTCTATATCATATCATAGTTTTGTCAAGTTAAGTTTTATTTATTACGAATTAGTTCGCACGTATAATCCACGTAAAACGTTACAGGAACTACAACCTGTGCGAATTTGTGCACTTTTCCTTGTACTCTGGCTTCACGGCAGTAGGCGTTTTACTGCTGCGAAACAACCTTTTCAGGCGAAATGTGCGCGTGGAGCATAGGTTCTTTGCTTCAAAAATTTTCGGAAACTTCGACCGACTGGTATTAGATTGTCCGAGAAAACAAAACTACACACCATTTTCGGTATTGAGTGTGATACCGTCATACCGCGCCACATCTCGGCAGGAGCAACCTTCAGTTTGACCGCGGCGTTGACGGAAGAGCAGGGCACTGCTCTGTTCCTGTTGTGCTTGTGAAAGTGGTTTACAGTTACGACGACAAGGGGGGATTAAGTGCCCGCATGTTAAACTAGACACCTAGAAAATACTGTGCACCTGCGTTCTCATGCTGCAATGTTTGTCGTTCTGTCATCGCTGTATATACTGAAAATCATTCACTTCAAATCAAACTTCCAATCAGTTCGGAACAAGAACACCACGCGCATACTACGGGGACCAGATGCTAAAATAATTTTGCCCTCTCTGTTACTTTTTATTGCAAAAGTTTTATTTCATCTTGCAGATCTGCGCTACATGCTAAAATGTCAGTTTTGAGCTTTATCGTTTCTGTTGTAATTTTTTTCCTGAATTGCATGAACGTGCAGGGTTCTTTCAGTGACCTATGTCTACGAATAATGCACGCTTATTTATGATTTTACTTGCGCACACCAGTTTCTGTACGCTGTCACTGCTGGCTGAACTGTAACCGGCTGGAAATCCTAGTCAAGCTCACAGGAGCCTTCTCTTTCCATGCCCTCGACTTGCTGGAGTCGAAATTGATTTATTTATTTGACTGGTTGACTTTTTTTTTTTCACTCGGTCACAGCTGCAGTTCACGAGCACAACGTCCCAAGCCTCGAGCACATTGTAGAATATCTTGTACTTTGATAGCCGTTCACTTGACGTGTTTCCTCACTTTCACAGATGCCGTGTTCAAGAATAAGCCCGCCACTATCACCGCACCGAAAGTATTGCAAGGTCACTTGTCGACGCCGCTGTTGAAATCTGCCGAAGCGAACATTGGTTCAATCCATGGCGTACCTGTCGCCGAACTGTTTAGGAACCTTTACTGGTACGTTTCGCACCATCATCGTATATTATGCATCCACGCCTCTTTAAAGCTAAAGTATCTCAATTCACGTTGGGTATTGCAAAATAATTGCTACTTTTTGTGTAGTCGTTTAACGTACAGATAAGCATGTATTTGAGTACTTGTTGCTTAGCTAGCTCATTCCCAACTTCAGTGAAATGGTTATAGGATCACAAGAAAAGACAGCATGCATAAACGATTTATTGGGCGAGATTGAGGCGATTCTAGATGTTTTGAAATACGAGCGCGATACATAGACAGGGTCAGGAAAGACAAGCGCTTACTACCAACTGAAAGTTTAATTGGAAAGGTGCAAAATATATCCTGACAGATAGAAAATTTCGCAATCGCTTATAACAAGACCACACCGCAAACCAAACACAAAACTGATAAAATATATGTATATCAGCTGCACCTTGCGAACACCCAATTTGCTTTACAGCGATTCCTTAACGTCTATGGCATGTGCCATTGAAATGCTTCATCTGTAACTTTCAGCTGGTAGTGAGCGCTTGCCAGCGTATCACGCTCGTATTTCAAACCGGCATTCCTAAGGATTTGTAGTTTGTATTTTGCAGTGCTGCAGTTCGTCTTTTCTGTTCTCGTCCTCTTTTCGTCACGATAATGTTCGTTCAAGAAGCCTAAAGACTCAACTTTTGACAATGACTGAGTTTGCCCTAAAGCAGCATTTATCTTGCGGCGATTCCACTGTGGTGATCTTCGATCAGTTGTACATCTCTTTTGCCAATCTACGTGGGCTGCAAGGCTGGCAAACGTTGACTAGATATAACTTCACTAGTCGTTGCTCGAACCTGACTACTCACCTCTGTGGTCTAGTGTTTATGGTACTCTACTGCTGACCCACTGGTCACGGGATCGCATGTCGGCCGCATTTTCGATTGAGGCGGAAATGCTTGGGCTAGTCCGAGATATAAAAGCTTGGGCTAGTCGTTCTAGGTTCATTTTGGTGAGTTTCGCAGCACGAGAACACAGAACATAAATGGGACTGAGAAATGTCCCAAAATGTTTCTGTGTTCTAGCCCTGTGAAATGTACCACCAAGCTCGAGGCTCATGTAATTATTTTAACTACACGGCAAGAATCCTAGGTAGTAAAAATTTGCGGAGCCCTCAACTGCAGCGTGCCTCATAATATCGTGACTTTGTAACATTAAAGCCTATCAATCATTATTTCTTGTGACTGTCAAGTTTACGTCCATGAACCTCGCACCAGTGGAGGTGCACGTAAAAATCGCAGGTGGTCAAAATTTCTGAGGCCCTCCAAAACGGCGTCTCTCATAATCGTAGGGTGGTTTGGGGACGTTAAACCCCAGATATTATCGATCCGATGCCCCATTTAACAGACTTGACACGATGTATACAGCATCTGTGTGACCAGTGGTGATTTGCTCTAAAACGTTTACTCAGACCCACTCTAGATTTTCATTTGTACAATGGCACTTAGTCTCATCCAAGCCTTGGTGCATCTAATTCAAGATGGCAGGATTTCGGCGCTATTAATTTGGTACGAACATTTCTAGCCTTGCGAGGATACAACTATGATGCCTCAAGACTTTTCTTTTTGCAGGATGAACAAGCCGACTACTATAACGGGAAAAGTAACCTTGGCGAGGCCTGCCCGAATAAGGTCGTCACTCCAGTCCCCATCAATAAACGGCATCAACCTCGCCAACGCAGTCACAACAGACAGACATTACACTATAAGCGGTAAGTTCAGTATATGCCAGCTTCTGCTTGTAAACAGAAGTGTAGTCGGCAATATCTTTGCCCCCCCCCCCCCCCCCTCGGCCTTACGGTATTTCTACGTAGTCTCCCTATATGGCTTACAAGACGAACGCGTGTGCTCACGAGTCGAAACTGAGCGAATGGCTTTCCACAACTGATTTTTTTTTTTATTTGGCAAGTCTTCTGGAAAAAAGGCCTAGTGCAAGTCAGGGGTGACAGCTTCGAACCACTCCATTGTTGTCATATTGAGCACCATTATATGGTCGCAAGTGTTGTAGTGCGCGTGTACGTTCACACTCCACACAGTGTCGAGGAGGGGTCCGAAATCGCCAAGCCCTGGCTACGCCTCTGTTAAGATCAGTAGCTGAAGGGATGATTTTCTCGTTTGCAGGACCTACAGCCTTTGCAAGCCCTCTCGTTATCTCCAAGGACTCTCTTTTGGAAGGAAAATTGAACGGCATGAAATTGAGTGACTTGGTGACACTGACCGGAACGCACTACATCACTGCTCCCAAAACCATGACCTCCCTCAAGGTCCTCCAGGAATTGTCCGCTCAAACGGTCGATGGCGTCGACGTGACGAAAGTTGTAGCGACAACCATGAACGCCAGTCGACGAGCAGACGGCGGAAGGATCACTAACGTTCGCGCGAAATTTGCGCGTCGCGTCCATCTCGACACCAATTCTGAACGGCATCAAGGTTGCCGACATTGGGGAGCGCTTCGTCAGGATCAACATTCCCGCAATAATCACCGGCGTCAAACACTTCGTCGGCACTTTCGACGCGCTGCAAGACGTCCGTCTACGGGGCAGGCTCAACAAACTCGCCATACCAGGAGATCTTCTGCTCAGGGACGCCGAGCAATTCGTGCGAGCACCAAAGCGGTTCGACAGGCTCGTCACTACTGTAACCAACGTTGAAGGCAGAGTTAGCGGCGTAGCGCTACCAGGAGACGTCTACCGTCTCACTGACGACAGCCCCGTCGACGTACCGCTCGCCTTCGCCAATGGGCTTCAGGCGCAGCGAGACGTGGTCGTAGCTGGCACGGTCGACAACGTGGACATTTCGGAGTTCGCTGCATACGCGTCCAAGCAACCCGAAAGAATTGTGAAGAACAACGTGGTCTTCAAAGCACCAGTTTTCGTCAAGAAGTCGGTCCGGGTTCCACGCGAAGGTCAACAGCGTGCTGCTCGATGCCCTTTATAAGGACGCCATCTTTCCTACCAACGAGTCTACGTTGGTGATGACGGGCCAGAAGACTTTCCACAAGGGAGCCAAAATGACTCGAATGACGGTCAAAGGCGGCGTAAACGGTTACAATTTGCTGGAGGACTTTGTGGCCACGGAGGACCACCAAGACATCAATGGTAAGGTCCCTTGAACCGAAGTAACGCAACCTAATGATAATCTTCAGTTCTGATTTCAGGAATAAAAACCTTCACGGGACCTGCTCTGTTCGAGAAGGACCTGATTTCAAGTAAGTGGTAATTGCACACCCAGTGTTCGCGTAGTCCGTATACATAGCAGAAATTCGATAATTATCTGGTTCATTAAGAAACAAATTCTTGAACACAGACATCATTCCGTGCAAGCAGAAATCGTACACATGTCAAGTTGTTAGTGTAACTGCGCATTCAGCTTTAAGATATAGGAGGTTGGCTGAACAGCGAGCAGTATGAATAGGCTTATCTGAACAGCATAATTCAAATATTCGTTGTTTATGCAAGTTTTCTTGTAGATTATGTTCAGATAATTTCCTCGGTCTTAATTAAATCAGATGAGTATTAAAATCTTAAAGCTTATGTACTTGCAATACCTGTACAATTACATTGAAGAATTTTAAGGAACTACGCATCGTCAGAGGTCAAGTCGGCAGCAAGGATTGCCAAATAAGACTTCGCGCTTCTATATAGCGTATCAGTGCGGTAGAAGTAGCCAGAGGTCCACCAAAAGCAAAACATTTAATTCGAGACTTTGTTCACATTAAATGGGAATTACGATTCCCGGCTGACAGTACAGGCCTAACGACTCATAACTCAATTCGTCTTAAAAACAATGCAACTTACAAACTTCGAGCAATATTTACTACCTACGTAATAACCGAAGATGCCAACCACCAAGTAAATTTACTGCCTTGAGAGGCCAAAAACACGAGACGATGACATTCTCTTTATGTGACCTTGAAGACTTAACTAAATGATGCCCTCAGATATAAACTCGCACATAGAGGCATGAACGAACCTAAGACGAGAACACTTGTATGCGTACGCCGATTATGAAGGCTTTTAAGCAACACTTACTTACATCTACCCGAAGAATATATATGGCACTACTTTGTGGTAGCATACACTGTGCAACAGAGCGTGTATCATGAGCTCAGACTAGCATCTATTGTTGTAGACGCAAATTCTTCTTTCTTAGTAATTGCACATACGTGTCAAATGACTTAGCATGAAACTGTTATTCCAACAAAATGGAGAAAATTGTAGTTTGGCTGAATTCTTGACTGTTCAATTACTGCATAACGAACTGCAGCCAATAGATAGCAACGTTTTCCTACTCGTCACGTACTTTTACTAATCCTGACACACCAAGCATAGTACCTAAGGACTCTGATAATACTAATACTTTTCACGTTTAATTGTACGGCATAACAATGAATACCGCGAAGTTCAAGCACGCCACTGCAATCTCGTCACTGTTCGCGCGGCGTTACAGATGTTGGCATCATCGACAGAGTCCCACTCCTGAAGGTTTTCTCTGGCCGAATAACTCTTCACAGCGAGCAGAATATCACAGCCGAGCCGCTGTTCCTGAACAACGTGAGAGTGAAGCAGCTCTACGTTTCGGGTACAGTGCAGGGGCTCTCCTTTCCCAGGGACTTTGTTCTCAAGTCCATTCCGCAAAAGATCTACGGAATGAAACACATGGCTCGGGGCATGTCCGCTGCTCTCGTCGATTCTCGTGTGCACGCTACCGTCCGAGGCTTGTTCGGTGGCGTCGACATCGTGGACATAAACAAGCGCCGTATCCCACTGTCCACTGGCCAACTGCTAACAGGGGAATTCGCCATTGGAAACGTGACTGCACCATTCCTACACGCAACGTGGATGAACGGCAGGCCAGTCCAGCCATTCTTGAGGAATGTGATGTCAAAGACCAAGCCCCAAGTAGTCCCTGCTCCAAAGACGTTTTCCAGTGAGTTGGCCTTTCAAAATGAGGAGTTGGTTGAGCTAGTTGGTTGAGCGTCTTGCGAAGATGAGAGCAGAAGCGATTCGGAAGAAAGTACCGGAAAGGCGCTTTATCCTGTTTTCTGTGCTTTTTTCTAAACCACTCATGCACTCCTCTTCGCAAGAAGTTGGCCTTTCTTTCTTTTATTAACTTCAATGCTCGCATACGTTCATTCCTAATGACCAGTGGTTACATTGGCTACATGCCCGGCCAATGCACATGTCTTTATACCCACCAGAGTGGTCTGGCGATTGTGACGCTCGTAAGTCGTGAGATCGAATCCCAGCCGCGGTGGCTGTATTTTCTTTTAAGGTGAAAATTCTCAAGGCACATGTGCTTAGGTCTATGTGCACGTTAACGAACTCCAGGTGGTCACAATTTCTGAAGACTTCCCCTCTCGTACTCGTATTGTTGTTTGGGTACGTTACTCTAACAATCATTACATTTATTATTCTTGATTTCAACTAAGGTGTCCATGACGAAGTCAATGCAATATTAAATGCACCGGCTTCGTCAATGCAGAGTCTCAGACCGTGCCTACTTCTCAGCAGTAAGTTTGCCAGAAGTTTTATTTCTCATTTCTATGAGCACAGAACATACCGGATCCGGGTCGCTTTCATTTGTCATGTGTTCGGTCATTTACCGTCTAATGTCGCGTACAGCAATAACTGGTCTGTCAACGAGGCCCCAAGCAACATTTTACCCGGGGTACCAGCAATGTATTGCCTCTATTGTTAAATGCAAGCGCCGAATTAAAAATGTGGGAATCGTGAACACCAACCAACTCGCTCAGTTCAAAATCTTAACGCAAATGAGGAACCTTGAAACACGCTTAGGTTGCCGCGTTTCGACAACGCCTGGTCAACGGAGGCTGTGACGTCATGAGACGGATATTTTAATTCAAACCAAGCACACGCAAAACTGGTGCCCCCCCCCCCTTCTCCATCTCGATCTCGTATCGGTCGAGTCCTAAAGAAAACGAACTCAGCGATAGATAAAAACTTCGCGAAGCGATGATATTCCTCCAACAAAGGCCTGGCATTCATTCCCGGGAGTAAATGTGAGAAGTACAGTTGCTATTAGTCGCCATCACTGTCGCAAATTGTGCGTAGCCATGAACCTAGCTGTACATTAAAGAATGGCTTGAAAGGACCGATTAAGTAAAAGTACGGGCACAATTCAACACCGCTTTATACAGGGAGGAGGAAGGGGGAGGGGAGACCTTGCGAACGCCTGCGTGCTGTTTTGCGCCTCCAACAGATTCCAGCACCGACGATAAGGCGAATTCTTCTTGCAGCGATGTTGAAGGCGATCTCTCCCGTGACCACCGTGCAAGGTGTGAACGGCGTGAGCCTGGCAGAGGTCAACTCCAACGCTGTCACCCTGCGTGGTCAGTCCGTGGTCAGCGCCCCCGTTGCACTGCAAGACCCCTTCGAAGTGATGGGTCACCTGAGCATCCACGGCACCCTGGACGGTCGGGACCTCCGGGCCTTCGAGGCCGACGCGGTGCCCAAGCGCGGCTGGGTGTCCATCGCCGGCAACTGCGTCTTCTACCGCGGCTTGTCGGTGCGCGGCAACATCGCCGCCGACACGGTTAACGACCTCATGTTCTCCTACGACGTGCTCCTTAAGAACGCCGACCAGAGCGTCAAGGGTGAGTTCCGTGTACACTTTCGCGATGTCGATGTGTGTGTGTATATGGTCATCCAGGCGAGGGCAACTCGTGTATAGGGTCTCTTGGACATACGCCTAAGAAGGCTCCAAGGCAATAAAGCGATCTTTTTTTTCTTCTCCGTCGATATACTGATCTAATTTAAGGTAGTTAGTGCATAGGTCGAGCATCGCTTGCCTGCGCAACGAACAAAGACGTAATGACGGCTTCATTTTATTTCCAGGACATTACCATTTCACTCGTGACGTGAAGGTGCTCGGAGATTTGCCCCACTTGGGTCACATCAACGGCGTGGACCTGTCCGTGCTCGACACCCTGATCGCCAAGCTGGACCGAGAGAACGTCATTCAGTCCGACCTGGAGTTCCACGATGTACGTTTGGCAGCTTACTTATCTGTACACAGAGGCGCGTGTGCAAAATTCTCCATTAAAACTGTGGCGAGCCAGGCCTGTCGGTTGCACATCTGAAGTGATTATAGCGCAGGAAACGCCGACAAAAAAATAAATCAGGTGGGACACAAGCATTTAGCACTCGTATGTAGTCTCGTGTGAACAATCGTTTGCTTTCCGTTAGGTGGAGCCAAGCGTTGCAGCAACTACCCCCCCCCCTCCCTTACTGACTTTGTTGGTCGAATCCGAAAGAACAAACTCGGCAATGGCTGCTAAAGTTAAAATGAAACGATGACGTAGCATGAGATTTGCAGTGGCCTGCCGTTCTCAGCTTTACTCGGGTAAAAATGATATGTAAACTGATCGGTGAAACCAACAGGTGTCCTTGGTTGCCATTGTCGTGACAGAACATGCGTAGACATAAACCTGCACAATAACAAATAACTTCAAAGCTCCGGCTAGGTAAACCTATGTGGCACAATAGACGCCCGTCCCCCCCCCCCCACTTTTTTTGATGGCCGGCCGCCCCCTCCCTCTCATGCGCACACATGTGTGCACCATTGAGTAGCATCGTAACACAATTTCTGAAGATGTGTAAAGGAGTGTCCTTGTATGTAAAACTCGCAGGTTCCCCCGTGCAAGCCCGAAACATATGCTACTAAACAGCAACAGCAATAGCACTCGTGTTTTTTTTTTTCAGTTGATGCACAGGGAAGCATCAACACGAGCCATGGCTTCACGTGCGGAGTGCGCAATCTCCATTTCCTTTTTGTTGAGGCCGCGCGCTCCGGTTTATTCGCCGTCCAAAGGGGGGTGCTGCGGCGGCATCGCGTGTAAAGCCCTTTGATTGTGTGGCGTAACGTCCCGTGACACCCTGCCAGAATTTCGTGACGTCACAAATTTCTGGTCTGTGACGTCATCACGTGATTTCTTGTATTGCTTGTCCTCGATGCCGCGGGACGGTTGCTTCCGTCAGTCAAATTTCCCGTTTCATGCCGTATATAAACGCTCACCTCAACATATCTTCGTATGTTTCAAGTGCCTTCACCTCCCTTTAGGTGACCGAGGTTGGCACGGATCTGAACGTCGACGGTCTCGTCAACGGCCACAAGCTGCGGCAGCTGAGGGATCAGGCGATATGCACGGCCAGGCATCACGAGCTCACCGCCACCAAGGTCATTCGGGGTCCCGTAAACGTGTTCCATTCCATCGATGTTCGCCACTTCCAGAACGGCAGCCTCACTGCCCTCCTCGAAGATATCGTCTTCGTTGACGGCCACTTTGTAAGTTCTTCCGTTCATCTTATTCGAGCCTGGCATTTCCTTACAAGGTGGGTGGCTGGGCCAGTTGGTATGTCACGTTGATTGCTATAGCACACGCGTGTTGTTGACCCATGTTCGCGGTTTTTTAATTCGAACGATTGCCATTGGGCATAAAATAACCCGTAACACGGGAGGCACGTCACACGTAAACAAGTTGAATTCGTGCAGTCTAACAAGGATCGGTGAAGTGGTCCATGTATACACCATTGTTAGCCCGAAGGATTACCGGGACGGTGACCGGTTGTTCTGGGATGAAGGCGTGTTTACTGTAGGCCCAGGCACGACCACAGCAAGTGTCACGTACACTGCAGTCATAGAAGCATCCCGAAATAGGCACACGATGCGCGGTAGTGTTTCGACCAGTGTGTGGTTTTGGCATATACGTTCTGTTTCTGCTCAACAAACTCGGTTGGACGTTAGCGTTTATGTGCATCCTCGTCTTTAGTTCGCACTATATCGTTCATCTTGGCATTTTCACAACGCTGTATATCTACAGTCGCGCTTAATGAGTTGAAACACACTGTCTGTACTCAAAATGGCGCCAACACTAGCGTGCAACCTATGCAAGAAAAAATTAAACTAAAATCTCTCAATTAGCGGCGCTTCAACGTTTGACTGTGCCATTGTGCACGTTTGGGGTCCCTTTAACCACAACCAGTGTGTCGCAGCTCATATTAAACACAACTGTACTTCTTCAGATCTATCAATTTTTCTTTTTTTTTTTTTGCATGCCGTGTGCAGTCACTCGTTTTTTTTTTTTTTGAAGATTTTGCTCTGTTAACTTTTTACGCGCATTATTCTTTTCTTTTTTTCAGACGTGGACGTTTTGTCGTATTGTGCTGGTGTGACTCGTCTAACACTTTTCCTACGATTTCTTGGGGAAAATACGGCGTTTATTAGTATCCCCGCAAAACTATATATACTTGTTCAACTGTTGTATACATCACAGTAATGCAGTAGATTAAAAATGCGTCGAAGTGGCATCGGTATATTGTACAGTGTTCTTTATGAAATAGATTTTAAATGAAACTTTTATGGCAGTAAGACTCCTGTTGTCTTCGCACAGCTTTATGTCGAGACGCAAATACTCTTCCGCAACTGGAATGACTGTTATGAGCGCGGTGGTTAGGACTAATGAATGCTTGGGAACCTTTTAGTGAATTACCAGCAGTTCTTTCTAATAAAGTTGTGGTGCATGACTTTTTACGCACACCCCCCCCTCCACCTTTTTTTTTTTTTGAAACCACTGAAGTGAAGCTTAATTGAATATTCGTCACTGAGTTTCAGCCTCGGTGTATAGGTCACGTGCGACAGCAAGAGCTAGCCTCTCATAAAATTTTTATTTACAAAATCTATCGTTTGAAAAAACCACCTTGTGTACCAAACTACTAGTTGAAAATTCTAGAACAGTAGAAAAACCAATAAGACAAACTGCGTGCGCTTTAAACAGACACGACAGTTTGCCACAAGAGAATGGCGCATGAAATGTTTAAAATACATGCATGAATATATGAAATGTATGTCACATAAAATTCATGCATGAAATGTATAAAATACGTTTTGATTAGTAACTTTCAAACAGGCGAGAAATTTCGGTTAACGCTGTGCCGGACATCACAGGTAATGTTCGCTACCTCAATTATTGAGCTTGTATTTGATTTTGCATACAATAAATTTGTCAAACATAAGCTATCTAAACCAGCAGCATGTTATTTTTGATAAACTTTCATTGTGTCGATGATATTGCCAAGAGTGATTTTTGGTGTATTCTGGTTCCATCCGCAAAGAATGTTGGCAACGCTCGGTGTACACCACGCTGCAGTGTTTGGCAAGCTTCGCGATTGTAGTAATATCATTAAGATTGCGCGAACGAACAAGCTTATAATTGCAGAACTTGCACGACCACCAGTGATAAGGCTGGAAAGTTCGACGCGTGATGTGTAATAAAAGATCATCCCAGCACGGTTCACTGCACTGAACCGTGCTGGAACCGTGTCCCAGCACGGTTCACTTTATCGCAGCCAACACTGTTCGTTGTAATCGACCTACAGCGTTTATTTCTTGTAGTCTCTTCATTTTCCGGGCGGAGGGGTGCCCAAATAAAGTTTAGTCTGACACGTCGACTGTTGCCTTCATCAACGTCCCGACCCATGACAATATTGAGTTTGGTCTTATTAAATCTCTTGTCGTGAATTATTCAGTGCTGTGTCGTTAATCTCCTGTGCCATAATCGCAGACGACTGCACCGAAGATATTCACTGACGTGCTCATGGAAGGAAGCGTGAAAACGAACAATGCCCACTTCGACCAACTCGTCAACGGCATCCCCATCAACACGGTGCTCTCTGACGGCGTCTGGGGCGACGGGGTGTGCCAACTCTTTGGTAATTATATTTTCCGTGCTAAGCGTCTCTTACTCGAGCCCATGTCCCACGGCGTCGGCGTCCGCTCCACGCATGCGCCACTTCCCTCTCCTACGCTCCCCCTCGCATCGCAATGCCGACGTTGGGCGCGTCTGCTAACCAACGCTTGCTCCCCCAGTTTTTCTTGCCCCGCCGCGGTGTTTTAATGGCTAAGGTACTCAGCTGCTGACGCGCAGGTTGTGGGATCGAATCCCGGCTGCGGCGGCTGCATTTTCGATGGAGACGAAAATGCTGTAAGCCCATGTGCTTTGACTTAAGTGCACGTTAAAGAACCCCAGGTGGTCAGAATTTCCGCAGCCCTCCACTACGGCGTCTCTCATAATCGTATCGTGGTTTTGGGACGTTAAACCCCACATATCAATCCCCAGTTTACCTTTTAAACTGATAAACCTCTATCAATCTCGTTCCGGCAGACTCGTAGTAAGATCACGTGCTACATGACAACTGGCAATAATTTAACGGCATTTGCAGTCATGGCAGCGAGCGGCGCTGGCTAACGCTCCCAGAATTGCGCGCGTGGAATACCCAATAATTTGGAGGGGAAAGCGACAGCCCCTGTAGCTCCTCCATTGGTAGACCATCAGGTGCATTATTTAAAGGTCGCCGATTTGGTCCTTTCTAACGGGAACTTGATATCTCATCCACTTTACTTCATTTCCGTTTTGTAATAATTAATATACTACAGTTAAAAGCATACACGTAATGTGCCCGATAAATTCCTCAGCTTTACCGACCGTTGTACGCAAAGGCATGGGTTTCCTATAGTGTGCTACCGATGTACTATGGTATGTTACTATGTTAGCGTCATTACCTGCTCTTAAATGTACTGCTTATCAAGATGAATTACCCATTTATGTATACTTATATCCTTAGCCTGCCGACTGCGCGCTAGCCTCGTCTCTTCCACCCATTCATTCATACGCGTATACCTGTGTATACACCGGAATTCATCTAATCATTCTTTTATTGTGCTTTCATTTTTTTTTTCAGGCGACAACGTATTCACCGACACTTTCACTGTTACCAAAGACCTCACTGTTCTCGGCCGCTTAAACGGACTTCGCATTCCCGACGATCTGCTGCAGCTTTGCCACAACAAAGGTACGACATTTCCTGAATGAAAGTGGCGGCACCTATGTACGAGACGCCAACGTGTCTGTGCGTGCTATATGCTACTGTGAACGATGTTCTCAATTCTAGCCTGCGAGAGTCTTGTGGTCTCGCGGACCGTACTGGCAATAAAATGCCGCGCTGCTGCCAAACTCGAGCTCATGGGTTTGATTCGCTGTCTGAGCGGTCATCTTTCAGTATAGGTGCGAAATATGAACCCCCGCGTGCTTAAGGGCACCGTCAGGCGGTCGAAATTCGTACTGTGCTTTGTGGTTTCGGCGCGTCAAAGCCACCGCTACGTACGCGTCGGCACATTTACTGACAATTTTCTTCTTCGCTTTACTTTCCCGAGATTTGTCAATTTAACGAACAAATTCGGATTTTTTCTGTGTTGTCCATAGGCCTAATGCTTTCACGAACTCGAAATAACGAGAAAAACGTCGCCCGCCAAACCTGATTTAACGATGTATTGCGGGAAAACAAGATGCACAGAAAAAACTATTCGTACAAATTTATAGCGTCTCTATAGAATGTCTGGCAGTCTGCTGCCAACGTAGGCGCAGTACAATCGACGCAACGGAGGCATTCTTGTTTTACGATCTGCGAGCCAGAAACACTCAAGTGATGCGGCACAGATTACGCGACTACGCGTGTTTGCGCGCCAAAGTTCGAGTCTCGACCGACTCTCTCCCTTCAAAGAGCACCACGGGATTCTCGAACGGGGAGCAGTCTTTTTACTGACCAGCTGAGAGGATTGTTTGCCAGCTGCTCGTGAAACGAACGCAGACCAAAATGGTGAGCTTCTTCACTAGGCAGTAAATTCATCGTTCCCTCGATTTTACGAAGATCCCGATTTAACCAAATCATTCGCGCGTCCCAATAACTTCTTTAAATTGAGGTTCAAGTGTTTTTTTTTTTTTCATTCCCGCAGCGTATGATAACCAATCGAACGGACTCCTGGTTAACCTCATTACCTTCTCTTTGCTTCCTTCCTGCTTTCTTTCCAGGTTTTGGCACGTGAAAACCAACACAATTAGTCCCGCAGGTGCCTAAGGTCGTCTCCCCAGAAAAAGTCTATCGGTGTATAAATGCGTTGTGTGGTGTCTTGTACTTTCCTCTGTCAGCAGCAATAGTCGATGAAGGTGCCTCAGTATCAAGTCGTGTAATCTTTTTGCATGCTTATCAGTAGTGCGTACTGTGCTACATCAACTAATATGCTAGTGTCGTGACAGATCGGATTCGGCGGAATGATTTAGCTGCGCAGTGGCCTCTACAGTGCACTATGTGAAATCTCCGCACTCATTTCGCAGCGTGTCCGGAGCAATACTTGGACAGTCCTGTGTTCGAGAACGTCCAGGTTCCGGGCCATCTGCCTGTCTCTGGCACAGTCAATGGACACTACCTCCCGCACATGCTCGAGGATACCCTGTTCGTCACCACCAACCAAACCGTACGTGGAACCAAGCACCTCGAGGTAAGCCACCATGTCTACACCGAGGCACTAATGTTCGCACAAATTTCGGCGAAACTTGCTGTCGGCAAGGTTCGCCAAATGGAAAGGTTGAAATCTTGTTCCCCCAACAACCAAACCTTCCCGGCTTATTACAGCGATTAGTGCTCTGTTCTCCTTTCATGCAGGTTGTGACGTTCGAACAGAATGTGCTACCCGATCGCGTCCATGGGAAGCGATTCCGTCAAGATGTGGTCACTCTGCACACGGCGCAGACGTTGCACGGAAGGCTCTCCTATCGTCACGTTGTCACACCGAATGTCGTCGTCAAAGGTTGGCAACTTCCCCGTCGCTTGAAAGGAGCGGCCAGTCGCCGCTCTGCTTACGTTTGCTGTTGACTTGTGTGACAGTATAGTCAGATGATTACCCTATATAGGGTAGCGAGACCATATATATGCCTTTGATGTAATTCGTTACGTCCGTTAGGTTGCGGTGTAAATTGAAGTTGTCCTGCAACGCATATGGTCAATAAGTCAGTTTAAACATTGCGATTCAACTCGTTTCTGCGCGTAAAGTCCTGTGAGCTGTCCAGAATATGTATCAAACTGAACGAAAAATGATATAGGCAGCCTTTACCGTAAGTTCCATTTCATACATAAAATGGTGCACAACACGAGTAAGAGCTCCACATTGAAGTCTTCGAGTTTACTTAACCTGACGCTAGACCCCGACAACCTCTCAGTACTGGGGATAATGTACAGTCAATCACAAAACTTTGCGGGCCACGCGAGCGTGTGCTAAACTGCCTGTCCGCGCCTTCTTGCGGGTACGCAATCTACCGTAGACCGCAGTGCTAGGCCGGAAACGGCTTTTGTTATTACTCACTATAGCCTTTTAATTTCCTGCTGCCACGTAACGCATTGTTAGTTCGCAGTTCTCACGCGAAGCGCTGATCTGCAATATGACCATCACATTTCTATTTTCACAGCAGGATCTACGCTATCATGGAGAGCCTCAAACGGCATTTTGTTGGCCAAGTATCGCTTTGTGATAAAGATTCCGGTTCTTAAGTTGTGGTCATAAACTTCTCTCGAGGCGCAGACGCCAAAGCGTGTCGCTTTAAAATGTGAAAGGTGAAAACTCTTTGTACCAACTAACACGCATGTTTTCTATTAAATGGGTCTCGGGCGCTTCGGTGCTGTCGATGGCCGCTGACGTAGCGGAAATGTCGCGAAGACGTTTTTGGCCCAAGGCTCACGAGGTCCGTAAACTTTTGAGGTTGACTGCACTATCGAACACTATACTTGAACTAATTTGAATTTATTACGTACAAATCATATTCAGCTGTCGCGGTTTCACGCGTGATGCACTCGACGCAGCGCTGTTATAAACATAAATCTGAATTCGTATAAACATTCCTACACTGCTCCATTGCCCTATTGCCCGAGTCAGTGTACAATGCATGTTGCCCAGAGTGTCGGCTGCACCAACCTGTAAGAGGAATCAATAGCATACATGCCGTCTGCCCTGTTTCTGGAAGTAATTATGCTTATAGTCGATTGACCAGCTGCGATACCAGCTAATTTTCACAAATAAGATACTGCCCAGTGATGACTATTGCATGCAGATCTTCTGAACACACCACCCTTGATAAACACAAACGCATTGGGGCGAGAACAAGGACGTGCGCAGCGTCGTCACAAATTTGCACGTGAAGTCCACTGACCATACTCATGCAAGTGATCCAGACACATCACGGCTATGATGCTAAGTATTGCGTCATGGCGGCGTTTTCATGTCACTAAATGTGCTTTGGTCTGTTCTATACGTGAAGCTAGTCAAGCTAGTCGGGAGCTAGTCAAGCTGTTTTAGTGCAGCTTTTACTCCCGCCATCCTTCATGTTGTACCAGACATGAAAATAAAGATTCAATTCAAGTGATCATGGGGGCGTACCCAGGAGGTGGCATACCGGGCCCGTGCAGCCCCCCCCCCCCCCCCCCACCCGAAGTTTTTTCTCGCCATTGCATAGAAAGCGAAAAATGACGATTTCAGGTGGTGCCCACTTCTCAAAATAAAGGTCCCCTTCGAAAAAATCTGGTAACGCCCCTGTAAGTGACGTGTTAGTCTGTGCACTGTGGGCAGAGAACTTAGGCAGAAATGTGTGACCGTTCTATTAAAGAAAAGCGAGCCCATGCAAGTGAACGGTCTATTGCCACGCTATTCTTTTATTCCCTGTAGTTTGCCAGGTGTTCTGTGTGTCTGTTACGTGTTTATCATTGTACATATCCTAGTCGTCACTTAGTAGCGCTTCAGGTGAAAAGCCAGGCGGACTTATTCATTACAATAATTCTCTTGTCTACTCGCAACCAGAAAGCATTAGTCTCGCTTATTCCTTGTTCAGGGCTCATCAACAACGTCAACTTCTTGAGCCTCGTGCGAAGCACGGTGCTGCTTAACGTGCCCCAGACCATAGCCGCCCCGCTAGCACTGAACAACGTTGTGGTTCGCCACAACATCCGACACGTGGGCACACTCAACGACGTCCACCTCGATCAGCTTGCTCGGGAAGTGTCTCGCTTTGAGCACGCTGCCGCACAGTTGGGACGCTCCTTGGGCCACCGGATAGCCAGGCACGAAGGCCTTCTCAACCAGCTCTCCTGCTTCCTCACCGGTAAGTCCATGCTTGCGCGCATACTGACACGTCCTTGCTTTGTCCTGTTTCACGGAGACTTCTTGTGACTCGTTTTTAATTATTTGTTTATTATTGTTTATTTATTCATTACTAATTCATTATTATTACAATACCATCAGCGCCATTACAGAAGTGATGGGGAGTGGTATACAGCACATAATCTGTAGACGTTTTTCAGGTATCAGGTACAGTAAGAATTTATTTGTTCGTGCGGCTGCTGCACTTCAACTACTCTGCTGTCATAGAAACATTTCATGTTATTACCTTAAAGACCATTCTGAACACAATGTCTTAAAGCCACCTTATGTAATATCCCTAGCGGGGTCTTTAAGGCATAGAGAAAGGTTTGGGTACAGACAAGTTATATATTAACCAGTCTTGCTTTTACAATTCGCAAAAATAAAATCGGGCAGGTAATCGTGGCAGTGCTGTGTGAAAGGTTGTTCCAGTCAGATGCCCGTCGAAAGGAGGCAGAAAATGCTTGTGTGGCTGCGCGGACGGGTGACTTGTGAGGCATGATCGGTGCGGTGAGATATGCGGGCTGTACGGGTGATAGTCCGGGCGGTTACATGGTCCTGTGATAGGACTTACTGAACAGAGCTATGGTGGCAATGCGACTACGAAGTGCAAGAGCTAGATAATTCTTCTAAGACGCACCGACATGGCACGAATATGATAAACGACTGAATCGTACCGCGTGGTTCTGTAGTGCCTTAGATAAGCCTGAGACGGGCTCCAAATGGCAGTGGCATACTCACGCTTTGGTTTGCTCGAGCAATTTGTAGGCTAGCAGTTTTAGGTGTTCGGGTAGCGTGACGCAAATGACGCTTCAGATACCGGACTTGTCGGCACTAGTCCTCAAGTTAAGGACATGCGCTGCCCGTATATTGGAACATTGCAAGTCGAACGCGTACCTTGCAGACTGTAAGCGTGCATCAGTCCTAATTCAGGTGCACCTGACTGTGGCGCAAATTAAATTTTGTGAAGAATGGATAGAAAGGAAGGAAGTGAAGCGCAGATTACCAACTGCGACTCCCAGAAACATACAGGAAAAAAACTTTCTGCGCGTGCGTGACGAGTCAACGTGTGACGTAGGGTAACATGGTTGAGATAGTAATGTCTTCTTGCAAGCCTTCTGTGTGAAAAAAGATCCGACGGGAACTGCGGTGTCCTGAATCTTTCTGGTGTTTGCAAGCCCCGTCTTCTAGAAAGGATGAAGGTGGCACGTGCCGGTTGATGACGATAGGTTTGTTTTGGAATTACTACTGACGGCTGACACACAGGTGCTCTGTTTAAAAAAATTTAATATTGTGGTAATGTAAATTTTGGAAAAAAACGCTGTCAGTCAATACACCTCAATGTACCAAGTTCGCGGAAGGGCGCGTATCTGTTTTGCGCATCTATTGCTTCGTCTGTCTCGTCTTTTTCCAATTCACTACAAATTACCCCCTCGCCTAAGCTATTCCAAACATACCTTTAACGTTGGCCACAGATTCTTATTCGACCGTGGATTACTTCGTCCTGCACCAATACCTGGACGTGGAGGCCACGACTGTGGACACAGCGCCAGGTGTGGGCTTCTTGCGCCTGCTGGACAACCATGGCAGCGACGTCGTGGCACAAGCGTTCCACTTCGCCTGGAGTCAAGAAGGCGGCGCGTGGCAACTGCAGGGCGTCGTCTCTGCCGACGAAGGCGAGCGCGTCTACTTCACCCTCGAAGGGAGACTCTTCTGGCTCGAGCTTCCTCTGCCGGACAGCAGCACCGGACGTACGTAAACTCTGCGTCGTTTCCAAGAGACGAATTCCAGTTAAGCGTATCGAACACATCTGCATATACAAATGCGTATGAAAAAGCATGTGCAGATATGTTATGGCTATAGGGCTCTATATTTTAGGCTTAAATTATCACAACTCGACTCAGGGGCCATAACTGAGGGGAAGCTGTTTGAGGTGGTGCTGAAACGGCCGAAATTTTTTGATTCATTTGATTTATCCGGTGATACTTGTGTTGACGCGCTTTCACATGGACCACCAGTTCCTAAAGTTAACCGTTTTGCACTACCCCCCCCCCCTTCACCGAGAAGCTCTTCGGTACAGACCCGACACGACCAAAATCTTGTTAACAGCTCTCCTGGCTCGGCTATTTCAAGCGTTTAAGTTTTCGTGAAGAAGTAGTACACAAGCAGTGGCTTTAAAATTGTTGAGCAACTGCACAATTCAACAGCTTTCATCAAAGCACTCTCCCTGCAGGTAGTCCAAAAGGCACGCTCGTAGTCAGGGCCTTCCCGAAATTCGGATGGAGGGGGGGGGTGTTTTACAGAGGAAAAAACTGTTTTTCAAGGCCTTCAAAAACTCTCCCCCCCCCCCCCCCACACACACACACTACTCGCGTCGCTGAAAAACATTCTTGGCTACGGGCCTGCCGAAAGGTAACATGCTTCGAAATGGTAAAATGGACGAAAAAAATTTACCATTGACGCACTTTTAACAATTGCCTACCTTTGGTCTCTGGGTTTGACAGTAAACATGTGAAGCGAACGCTTCTTGGGGTGTAGCGTCAAGGACCTTCGGCCGCCTACTGTCGTCAAATACCTGCTTGACCGTGACTTTTTCAACAATGACTGGACAGGTCTGACAGTGTGTTGCAGAATCCTTCCCCTTGCGAACGCCAATGTTTGCAACGTCGTACATGTGTTACTCCTGCTGCAGGAACGGGGGCGCAACTGCATATTACTGCTCTTGCACAGGTGCCATCTTGACGGACGGCTCGACGGTGGTCTTCAAATTTGGCGACGTGCTGGCTATGTCGGCTGTTACCAGGACAGGCAACACCGCAATACTGGCCAGTCTGACCAAGCACGGTGTCCTGGACCTCTTCACTTACTCCCTGCAGAGCTTCGAGCCCAGTCTAATCGGCACGATCAATCCAGGGCAAGGTAAAGTCGGGCAGAGTTATCCCTAAATGCTCCATGAAGTGTCCAAGATTAAAAAATCCTCGCAGTACAGCCGTACTTCAACACGTTAATAACGGTCCGTTAAGCATATACAAATAGTTATATGTAAGAAAATACCACTCGCGGAAAGCTATCGACGAACTAAAAGTTCAAGAGCTTGAAAAGATGAAAAAACGTGCACGGTAAGTCACTATAGCCTAAGTTCCGACAAGCGAACTTGCGCAGCTCTGAAGAAAGATCCTTGTCCAAACGTCGGCTTCACCATCTCGTAGTAAAACGTTTCATCGCGTCACGTAGCAGACACTGAATAAAATAAACGTATTTTCCTGTCTCGCACGACTCCGTTAAGAGGTTCGACTGTTACAGCGTCGCCTCGTAGCTTGTTAGTAAACTTTTAAAGGATGCTGTGAAAGTCTGCCAGACTCGGCTACGAACATGGATGCGTATCGGCACAATGACCTTTTCGCTCATTCTTTAGACTGGTTCGTGGTAATCTGTGGATCAACTTGCGAATGTTGTAAACATCACGGCTCCGCCACTGTGGCGTATAGTGGTTACGGTGGTCGGCTGTTCTCCCGAAGACGGCATGTTCAATCCCGGTCGCATTTCGATGGAGACGAAATCCTAGAGGCCCATGTACTGCTGAATATCGAAACACCAGATGGTCAAAATTTTTCAAGCCCTCCACAGCAGTGCCGCTCACGACTTTTGGTTTTGGCGCGTTTAACCCCATATATATTATCGCGAATGCTGAGCGCTTTGGCTTGCCTCCTTGCAGGTGCCACCATGGTCAAGCTCCTCTCCCTCGAAGGGTCGTTGTACGTCATCACCTCCGTGTACGACCACCGAGCTTGCATTACGGACCGCTACCACTCGCTGGTGTACGCAATGGAAACTGCGCACAGGTGGCGCCTCGTGCAGACCCTCTACGGTGGAGCGGTGGCCAATGCCTTCTCCCTCCACGGCTTTCTGTATGCCCTGTTCACCGGTTTCGACATGCGCAGCCACTGCACTGAGCCCAGCCTACTGAAGGTGTGTGTCAAAATGCATGGAGTTCGACGTAATGAGTCTGCATCCTGCCCTTGATCTGAACTCGCCAAAGGCTCTATGGATATCGCTCTCCTATTACAACCACCATGCTTGACCGATGCAATCGTGCATATGCGTGCGCACAGGGGCGAAGCTTCAACAAAGTTAAGACAGTTAGACTAATTGGTAAAATAGATCATTATACTTGCGAAATCATTGACGGGAATGAAAAGAAACGAGACTACGCTAGACCAACTAAACTTTTATACATGCAACATTCAAGTATATAAAAACCCGAATTGGTGACGGCATGCGCACAAAGGTACCGTTATACTCGAAAGTAGGTTACAATTGGTATCGGTTTCTACGCAGATAATAAAGCTTTCCCTGTCAAGAGCGCCAGCCAGCGACTGTTCGCACACGCATCAGCTTTTTTTTTTTTAATGACTAGAACTTCATATCTTTCCCACTCCCTCTACGTTGCGAAGCTGCGCAGCACTCAAGTTTCCTTTCGTAGTGCTACAGACACCAGCACCTTCTGCAACAGTTTGTGAGACGTCCACACTCGAAGTCTAGCCGTGCTTCTCGTCTTCTGTTTCGCTAGTATCATGACCGATCACTCTTCGCCACAACACCCCCACCCCTGTTCCCCTGTTGGTAGAGTAAAAAAAAAAGATTCGCCATGAATGCCGAAGTCAAAATGGGACAATGATTTTCTTCTCGCGGCGATTTACCTTTGGTCTACTGCTTCGGGGCGGAGAAGCTACCAAGTGGACTTTCCTTATAATGAAGCATCGGGCGTCCTGGGATACAATTATGGTGAAAAATTCGCATGGTCTTAACCCTGCGTTCTAAACAACGAACGGTCAGTGTAGGGAGAGAACTTGGCTCCCTCTTTACATAATGGGACTGGGGGGGGGGGGGGGGTGCCCTACATGCTCTTCACTGCCTCCCCAGTGCGCGTGTCATCGGGTTGAAAGCATCGCCGCGTGTTTCGATGCGAGATGGCTGGCTGCAGACCACGCCGCGATAATTCATAAGCTTCACTATTCTGTGAAGGTTATGGGTAGGACGAGCTAATTTATTTCGATAGCTTTCAAGAACGCTGGAACCTTCGATGTCGCATGTATAACTGCAGACGCGTGTTACCGCAGATAAGATTGGACAGCCGACGCTCTGTTTGTCGCTATCGATCGACACTGCAGCGTGTATTCCTTATGCCCAACGGAAAACATTCAGTTTTCAGGAGCACAGGTTCGTTCAAATAAAATATCGCTTGAGAACAGACTGCTGCCTCATCACGGCACCACGATATTTTCACGTGGTCATGACGTCCATGAAGACAACAGGCGGCGCGTCGACGAAGAAACTCTTTATTTGGCCGAACTTCTGGCCTATAAATGGAAACTTTGATTACAGCGATACACACTATAGAGCACCATGGTAGCTGAGAACACGGCGTCGGCCGTCGATCAACTGAGAATCGGTAATGTGCGTCGGCATTTATTATATATGTCAAGTGTTCCAGTGTTATCGCTAGCGGCCACGAAAGTTTCAGAATAACCTGTAACGTTCGCGTTGCACGCGTAACCTTAACATGATGATCTACTACAGCACCGAGGCTCCTCGAACACTGCAGGCTAATGTGGCAATATTACCGTAGCGAGCAGCCCTCCACTAGTTAACCGCGGATAGTTTGGTGCAAAACGCTGCAAGACGCCTTTCCATCAGTCTTTCACCCCTGAAGTGAACCCCGCGCTGTCTTCTGTTCTCGCAGGTTTATCGAACTTGTGGCAGGCCGGGATCTACTTTCGAGTTGTTCCAGACAATCTCCCTGGACTCGGTCTCCAAAGTGGAGATTGTCCAGTATGGAGCACATCTCGACGTATTCATGGCTGCCGCCAACAAAACTTCAATTCAAATCTACACTTTCAATGGTAATGTATCTATTCTAGTTAATTTCAGTTTGTCCTTGTACTTTCTAGTTCTACCTTCAACCTATCTTTACGTCTTGCACGTCCCCATACGCAGGTTCTGACTAGGATACAACGCGTTGGTTCATCACGCGTCTGCAGATATGTTTCAGAAGTTTCCTTCAGCACTGTGTAAAATAAAACTAATTGATAGCTGATTACACCATTCGTTTGTTGCTGGCGATGCAGTGGGCATGTAACATTAACAGCAAGTACGGATCGAAGCGGGCGGTCACTTTTGAGTGGGTGCTGTCATGTTGATTTGCAAACAGTTATCGGCGGTAACCGACAGAAATAATTGCGTATGAAGTGAATGCAAAAATAAACATCATGTATCGATGTGGCGTAACACACACCAAACGCCAATTCTAGTCAACCTGTCAATTTTAAGGCACTTAGATGTGGAACCGTGTTTCACTGCGCAAATGTGTGACATTCTTACACCCCCCAAACTTGTGCTGAACCACACCGTTCAGAGTATAGACTTCATCGCGTGATTGCTGAGTTTGTAAAGGAAAGAGGCCACAGCGCCCAGCCCCTTACACAGGCCGAAAGGCGGCGTGGACGCGTTCTGGCAGTGCGTGGGCCAGCTGTTGCGCATGCGCAGTATGGGCGGTTACGCGCACCGGCTTGAGCTTCACCATAAGCTGCCTTTCTCATCTAAAAGGGAAACGGTTAATGTCCCTTTAACATAGTCTACTTGACAAAGATCTGAAAGACATCTGCGCTCAAGCAAAAAAATCATATCTTGCATTCACTGCCTATGGAGCCTTCATGTGCGCGGAGGCGGCGCACACGTGAAGGCCCCCGATCATTGCTCACAAAAAACTCCACTCAAGACTCCGCGCACCTGGACGCCTGTTTGGAAGACCACTGCAAATCCGGACGCTTGCGATTCGCAGGCGAGAGCGGCTTCCAGTTCCACTCGGCGATCGCTGTCCGGTTGGTGACCGACATCAAAATGACAGGTGCTCGGAGGCTCCCTCTACCTCGTCGTCGCTCAGGGCCACAGCACCGCGAAAAGCCTCGTTTACAAGGCTGTCACGCTGGGTAATACATACTCTTATCTTTCTGACGGTTGTTGCGTGGCGTTTAATTAGAACAGCGTGACACCAATCCGCATACCACACAGCGCTAACAAATGGGATTCTTCAGCTTTTGCACGTTTTTTTCTTCTGTTGCAAAAAGTAACTAACAATTACTTATCATGGCTGGAAAGTTCGATCGCACGATGATTATTTGGATGTCTTATAGCGCTCAGTTGCAGTTTCCTGTATCGGAAAACGCAGTGGGGTTAAACCCGGAGAGAGTTGTCAAGCAAACATAGCTGGCTACGTGACCTCGCAAAACCGCGTGCACGTGAGCACCGCATTAACAGCTCTTTTCTACGACTGCTTCCTCAGGTGAACGTGCCCCCCCGCCTTTTCAATAAGTTCTGCCTACGTCCCCGCTACAATAGCTTCATGTAGTTGCTACCACAACCTAAAGTGACGAGAAAAGAATGTTTGCCACAGGTGTGGCGCGGCACAGTGGCAAAAGGACACTTGCCATGCGCCCGCTTGTTTCCTTTGATAAAAATAACCGTTGTACATACAACTTGGTCTCCGTTTAGCTCGGTTGTAGTGTAGTGCCAGGCGACCTGTGTTGTGCTAATATATGCAGTGACCTGTAACTAGCATAGGAGTCGTGAAGGGGACCCAAATGTCATAACTGTTATACAAACCCTACAGCGCGTGAGAAAATCGTGACGGCCGGAACATGAACTAACCCACGCTCTTCAGTGACCCAATTCTTTCTCTGATGAGATTGCTTAAGCAAATAGCTGGTGTTATGTTAAGCCTGTGGGTAGTTTGTTCCAAAGGCTGTGCTGTCGTATGCGTAAATGATCCGCTAGTTTAGTGCACGATTAGCAGCGAAACCAATTGCCCCTTTTCATTCATACCACAGGGGCTGCGGCAACATTCCAGTAGTCTTCCAGCGACGTGACACAACTGAGTGGAGCTGCGCTGGATTTTAGATTTTACGCCCTTCGCAACGCAGGGTGGTATATAATTGTTTACTGTTACCGCATAACTGCCTCTGAGGCATCGCAGCTTGTTACTTTTACGCAGCTTTGGCTATTGTAACCATTGTAGATGGAACATGTTGGGCCCTAGGCTTTGTTTACCACTGAAAGTGTCACGAGCCATGTGCTTAAAGCACGTTATTCACTCTGCAATAAATTTATTATACTGATCGTTTTCTTATGGACTCTTTCTTGTATACACCAGAGTATTGCGCACAACAGTTGGCCGTCAGCGCTCGTCCTGTGCGATTTTTGGCCGTGTTTATTTCGCGCTCTTTTTAAATGTATGCGTACCAACTGTTTTTTCGCATTATACTGCGTCGCACAATGAAGCACGCACAGCAATATAACAAAAAAATGCCTGTCTACAAGTTCTAAACTGGCGTGTAGTTCATCAGCGTGCGAACAAGGACTAAGTACGGAACATGCGCTAACTTTCAACGTCCTCTCTGCGAAACCGTGAAAAAATAGTGACGGAAATGAACGCACAGGAAAAAGCACTGATCCACCAACGAATGCCTTTATTTGTGCGAGCACGAATAAACACGCTTCTACCCACGTAACGAAGGGAGGGGGGTAGAAAAGGCGCGTGCAACTTATAGATCGCATCTATTTAATGGTACAGATAGCTAATCTCGTTGTCTGTTAATGCTTCCGAGGGTGCACTGACGCATGCTGACCCCACATAATGCATTTCGTAGGCTCTTCAGATTTCTCGGGAATCTTGACAGCTGCGAACAATGCGCGTCCATACTGAAAAAGGGTCGCACCTTGCGCAATGAATCACCGAATTGCCGTCTTCGTTCTAAGACTGCCGACATGTTTCTGTAGCCAATCAATAACACACCAGCCCGTCCGATAAGCGTCCACATGACGTCGGGAATGTTGTACACCACTTCTGTGTTGCAGAGAACGAAGCGACTCGCACGTTTTTCTGACACAGCAAGTTTTTTGAAACTTGCCGCGTTCACTCGCTTGCAGGGGTAGCTCAGTTTTTAGGAGCAGAGTAAACCACTCTACCCCCGCCACCGCCTTTTGCACCCAGTCAGAGACTCCGTGGAGGACGACAGAAACCTTGGTATTGTCAACTTGCGGCGGGGTTTATTCTCGGAACCTGTATTCGCGTATAATACCTTCTGCACAGGAACTGTTCAGGAAGACCACCCCCTGTCCACTTGAAGGGTGACACTTGAAGAGACTTGACGGGGACATGAAATACATCGGGCATTCCTCGTGGTGGTCAATGCGATGGTGCGGTTGACGAGCTTCGAGTGATGAGATGAAAACGGCAGACGGTCCTTCTTCGATCGCGGGTCTTAAATCCAGCAGGTGTGCCTGTCGTCCATGTGAATGGTGGGATCGAGGAACAGTTATTTTTTGCCTTCAGGTATTTCCTTTGTGGAGGATAGACTTGGGAAGTTGATGCAAAAGCTGCTGTAGATTGTCTGACGGCGTCCTGGCTTCATCAGGGTTCGCGTGGAATAAAGCAGGATACTCGTGGATAAAGCGAAAAATTCTCCCCCTTCGGATCGTCGTTAGGTTCCCCAGGACCCTTCCAAGCGTCTGTCGTAAATGCAAAGGCAAACTCCAGTGATTTTTTGAACATGTCAAGGTAATGGTGTTTTTATGCTCCCGAGACGCTCTCATCACGTGCCCAATAGCTGAAATGCTCAGAAACTTCAAAATTAATTTTAATAAGAAAAAAAGTCCCATAGTAAAACTCAACAGGGCGACCTGTCTGCGTATGACCTACTATTCAGTAAGAACCGGAGGCAGTATACTCGTCCCATCTGCGCTGATTATGAAAACTGCGAAAGCCGTAATAAGTGCACGTGCTACGTGACGCCGTACAGGCTCATAAAGGAGTGTCACACTCGCCACCATGGCTACATATGGCGCTGACTGACACTCCCACGTTTAAATTCACATATATGTCCAATAAAGTGGCTGGGAGGATAGCTGCCACGGTAGCTCAGTGGTAGAGCATCGAACGCGTTATTCGGAAGTCGCAGGTTTGGTTCCTGCCCACGGCAAGTTATCTTTTCACCCACTTTTCTCTATCCACATTTACTTACAATTTGGTCTAATAACCTCCCCTACACTTTTCTTGGCATTATACTTTCCTTGGCATTATTGTCTGTTAGATTTCATTAATATTGTCTCAAAAATCTCAAAACACGGAAAAACGAAGGTCATTTCTTGGGACGACTGGACACCGAATACGACGTCGTGTTACTCGACTGTCCTGAGTACCTGCAGCCTCCGAAAGAGAGAGAGAGAGAGAGAGAGAGAGAAGCGACGCGTCTGTGAAAAACGCGAAGCAGCAGCGCCATTGAACACACCACCACCAAAACGTAGAGCACTTGAGACCCAACTAGACTCTCCTTCACTTCCTCTCAATGAATTGCCCTTCGTCGATGTCGCCTCTCCAAAGTTATCATGATGGACTGCAACGCAACCGAATCACCGCTACCAACAAAAGGCGGTGCTAACGAGCGCTGTACCACTGCCACCGTGTCGGTGTACAGAGCTCTGCAGTCGTCGTCATTATTCTCGGTTTCGACAATAGACAGACGAAAGTGGAGACGTGAGGAGCACGGCCTGAACGCGCGACTTAAGTGGCTCAAGAACACCGTCGACAACTACAAACAAGAACTGCAAAAGCTAAAAGAAGAATGCTATGTGTCGGCATTCCTGCATGTTATGGAGAATGCGTAAGAGAAAGACCTGGCTGCGTCAATATTACTCGAACAAATGCAGAATTTTGCGAAGAAGAAATCAACGTGCTCTCAGGTGACAGTGCGCCATGCTGTGGTTTTGCGGAACCTCTCGACTAGTGCATACGAACACGTAAGAAGCAAAGGTATTCGACTTCCCTGTCGAAGTACCCTAGAGCGCTTTATGGGCTCATCACTGTGGAGAAGTTAACGTGACCGAACTCGTGAAGCAAAGGTTGTCTGCAGAGCTCGCTTCTCATCCCTCCTTGAAAGCGAGGTCATGCTCCTTGATTGTTGGCGAAATGCGCGTAAAACAATGGCTACTTTATCACAAGCAAAGAGATGCCTTCATCGGGGAGGTGTACTATGGTGTCAACTTCCCCCAAAAAACAACAGATGAGCCTGTCCCTGGCCAACTCACTCTTGTCTTTCGTCCATAACGGCCTTTCAGTTTCGTTCAGATACCCGTGGCGTACTTCTTCGCGAGAAACTGCACTGGCCGTGAGCTGCACATACTCATGCGACACGTTCTCGAAGAAGCTGAGTAAATAGGACTTTTCGTACTCCAAATTGTCACAGACAACCACAAGATAAATGTCTTGGCTATGCAACTTCTGTGCAACGGAAGCCTCAAACATTGCATTGCCCACCCTGGAAAACTGAATCGAAAGCTTTTTCTTGCATTCGATCAGTGCCACCTCATAAAAAACGTGCGAATGGCAGTTTTTGTCCCGTGACATCGGAAAAGGCAGCGAAATATCAACGAACTACTTGAAGAGCCTCTACAAAATGCAGCAACGCAGCCTTGCGAAGCCAGTATGATTTCTGACGAGAAAGCACGTATTCCCTACGAACATGGAAAAGGGAACGTGCAGAGAGCGGTGAAAGTTTTTTCTCCTCCCGTGACAGCTGCAATGAAGGTCTTGCAAGAGCAGGCGGGCCACACGTGCAATGCAAGTTTCGCGGGTGTCGGACGGCGGTGCAATTTATGGACACCGTGCCCCACTGGTTCGTGCTCATGGACTTGAGTAATTGTACCCAGCACATACATCAGAAGAATGCATACTGCAAGCAATCTGAATCTGCAGGCGATGAACAGCTAATCTGGCTGGAGACAAGCTTCCTCGACTAACCTGGACGATCTCAACAGTCAATGTCTGGCGAAGAACTTCCTAACCAAAGTGGCTTATGAGGGTATTGTGATGACAACTCTTCCGAACGTTGAGTGCATTAGATATCTTCTTGAAGAGATGTCTTTCACTTCATTTTGACGAATGAAAATGTTCATCGGACCCAATCGAAGTCGTTCTTTGGCTGGCTGAGGAAATCAGCAGGATCAAATGATCAAACGGACGTCCGCGCCTGTGTCCACAGGCATTGAGAAAACCTTCAAGACCATTGTCACATCGGCGTCGAGTACAAGCAACATAATGGCACAAGAAGAGAGTGATTACTTGTCAACGCTACCGCATCCGAAAAACACAAGGGAGCAGACCAACGATGAATTCCCTGCGGATGCGCATAGAGAGCTCATAGAGCAACTAAACCGAGAGAGGCCTCTACTTCCCACTCCATATGTGGCCGCATTGGCTATGGTCTGGTGGCTACCTAGCAAGAATTGTACGAGAAAACTTCCAATGTGAGGAGTGCTTCGCGCTCTTAACAAAGCCAAACGCCTCGAAACCATGGGACTCGCTCATTAAGCACTAAGACCACGGTGGACTTCTGTATCCGTCCGCAGAACTTTAAAATGTTCTCTACGCACTACAGAAGTTCGTCGAAGTTCTTCTAGCGTGTATAAGACGTATGCATTACCCTCTAAAGGAGGCTGTGGAACAATGATGCCGAGATACTCCGCGAGCACAAAGCATTGATGTGTTCGAATCCAGGGCACCAAGACACTTTGCTCAAACTGCTGCTTACAAAGTTCTTTCACCCAATATTCCCAACTTCGCCCTGAAAGCGACAGATAAACAAGACTTCGCCAAAGTTTTCGAAATAAAGCCACTCTCACGAAACCCTGAAACTGTGAGCTTGATCTCACAGCTGTGGGCCTGAGAGAAAAGTGCAGTTGTCACAATATGTCTCGTGTTGCTTGCTTTCAATGTACTGTGGTATGGAAAGAAACGCGAACAGTGCTACATCTACATTCTCTACTGTTTCGCATTTCATTTCCGAGTGGTTGTAGAATGCATGATAAATAACTTTTCCAGTGTCTTTTTATTCCCTCCAGGGTCACAGCGGGGATGGAAACATCGCGCCGAACTGTTTGCGTTTCTTCTCATTACCCCTGTACTTCATGAACAAACACCAATGCAACCTGCGCATATATTTTACAGTTGCACCTCTAATGCGAACGCCAGTTTCTCTTCAAGAGCATGCGCGCAACAGCGTAGTTGCGTCATCCGCTCTGGGACTGGGTATGGGGTGGCAGCGCAGTGTAGTGGCGAGCGCTTGAAC